CATTTGTTGTTGCAGCAAGAAATTGAACAAGTTATGCAGTATGGTGTAACACCGGATAGAATAATCTTTGCCAATCCAACAAAGTGTCCATCTCATATTAAATTTGCCAAAAGCGTTGGTGTGGATAAAATGACAGTTGACAACGAATTGGAACTTTATAAAATAAAAAATCTGTTTCCTGAAGCAAAGTAAGTTGATTAAACTTTTGTACTATTATATCATCTTATGTCTTTTACATCGAATCAACAATTCATTGAAGTGTTATTGTTGACAGAATAATTATTCGCTTTCGATGCGACAGTAATTCTGATCACCCTAATTGTACCAAACTTGGGATTAAATTTGGGTGCGATCCAGGCGACGAAGCAAACAAATTAATCCAAATTAGCAAGAATTTAGGCTTAACTTTATACGGATTTAGTTTTCACGTTGGTAGTCCATGTTACGATTTCAAAGCGTACGCGTGTGGAATTGATAAATGCAAGAAATTGATTACTTTCGCTAAATCGATAGAATGTAAAGATATCAAGTTAATAGATATTGGCGGTGGCTTCCCAGGGAAAAGTGAGTTTCGTATCGACGAGGTTCGTTTAATATATGTATTTACATTTGCAATTTATTTGTAAGATATATAGATGTATATTATTGTCTTCTTATTTTTCTAGCTTTCTCATATAATTAATGATGCTATTGAAGAAATAGATTCCAACATACAAGTTATAAGCGAACCAGGTAGATACTACGTAACGTCAGCGTTTACTCTGGCTGCTTATTTACATTCGAAAAAAACTATATCAGAAGAAAAGGGCTTAAGAAATGTGTATTACGTTAATTGCGGAGTGTATAATGGGTTTATAGAAGAATTGTTGAATATCAATTCGCGTCATCCAATTTCATTATTCAATGTATATTATAATCATTGTGTGTTATTTTGAGAATAGTTCTATTTATTTTTGTATAAATAGTTTAGTAAAGATAACTTGTTGCAGCAGCCTGTAGTCGATAAAAAATATCCTTCCACTTTATGGGGACAGACTTGCGATTCCTACGACTGTATCATCAAAGATTCATTCCTGCCAGAATTTCAAATAGGAGATTGGCTTGTATGGAGCGACATGGGTGCATACACGTCTTCCTTAGCTTCTACATTTAATGGATTTATACCGCCACGAGTTCATCCTTTTATCAGAAAAAGTCAATGGTTAATATAAATATAAGAGAGATTTGTATTTTTCAAATATTATGATAACATGTTATAAATATCGTTTTTTTTTTTTAGGGAAGAGTTTTGTGACATTACCCATGTGTAACGTTGAGCAATTGATTGTACAAATTATTTGTATAGTTTTGAAAAAGAGATATGAATTTCAATGACAAAAAACTATCTTTAATTAAGGTATTATATCATACTTTTAATATGTATCACACAACTTTCATCCAATGTATTTATGTATTCGGCTCCTTTAATTATATATATATATACTTTTTTTTTGAAATTTATAATTAACATTTTCTAAAAGTAATAAACGCGCGTTCTTCATTGCTCGCCTTCACTTGATGCATTTTTCCTGGTAGACATTAAACATATTTCATGCAATATCAATATTACAAAATGAGACTATACTAGAAATTAACAAGTCGTATTATCATTAAATAAAATACCACATTATTCACTGTATAACAAACAATGATTACTAGTTATTTATAAAGGAAAATGTCTCTTTACAACAATAGTGTAAATTATATAGAATGATTTGCATTAGTTAGCCTCGTTTAGAACTTCCAAGTATTTGTATAAGTATTGTTTCGTACTTTAGTTAAGTTAGTTAGTAGTAATATTTTCGAAGGACATCTATTTTATCTTTTTAAATACTACATAGTATTACTAATTAAAAGTAATTATTCGTACTATCACTTATAGAAAGTCTAGTTAGTACTTATAGCAGTTTATAAATAACCGACTTGTTCAAACTAAAGACGTACATCATTTTACATAATATATGTGAAAAATGTCTTCCACTAACGTCAACGAAATTAAGATTTACAAGGACCAAGTCAAAGAGTATGACATTTTAAAAGAAATCATTGCTAGTCGTGATCAAGAAGATGCATTTTACATATTAGATCTCGGTGATATTATTAAAAAGCATAGAAATTGGTTGAAAAAAATGCCAAGAGTTGTGCCGCACTTTGGTAAGCTTACTTGAAAAATAGATTTTTTTTTCTTCACTTATTGAACGTTACGATAATTAATGATAAACATTTTTAGCTATAAAATGTAATCCTGATCCAACGGTTATTAAGATTCTAGCTGCTATGAATGCCAGTTTCGATTGCGCCTCGCCGGTAATTATTCTATACAATTTTTCTATAGAATTTGTCTATACAATAATGTTGTTATATCAGTGTCATTTGTTGTTGCAGCAAGAAATTGAACAAGTTATGCAGTATGGTGTAACACCGGATAGAATAATCTTTGCCAATCCAACAAAGTGTCCATCTCAAATAAAATTTGCCAAAAATGTTGGAGTGGATAAAATGACAGTTGACAACGAATTGGAACTTTATAAAATCAAAAATCTGTTTCCTGAAGCAAAGCAAGTTGATTAAACTTTTCTATTCTTATATCGTCTTATGTCTTTTACATCGAATCAATAATTAATGAAAGTGTTATTGTTGACAGAATAATTATTCGCTTTCGATGCGACAGTAACTCTAATCTAACTAAATTTATTAATCTTGGAATTAAATTTGGGTGCGATCCAGGCGACGAAGCAAACAAATTAATCCAAATAAGCAAAAATTTAGGCTTAACTTTACATGGATTTAGTTTTCACGTTGGTAGTCCATGTAGCGATTTTAGTGCATACACGTATGGAATAGAAATATGTAAGCATTTGATTGTTTTCGCTAAATCGATAGGATGCAAAGATATCAAGATAATAGATATTGGCGGTGGCTTCCCAGGGGACAGTGAATTTCGAATCGACGAGGTCAGTTTATTAATATAACACTTTTTATTGTACGTACGTTAAAATATATTGAAAATAATTATCCTCTTGATTTTATTTGTAGCTTGCAAATGTGATTAATGATGCTGTAGACAAATTAGATTCTGATATACAAGTTGTAAGCGAACCAGGTAGATATTACGTCGAATCAGCGTTTACTTTAGCTGCTTATATACATTCGAAAAGAACTATATCCGATGAAAATGGTCTGAGACATATGTACTTTGCTAATTGCGGAGTATACAGTGGTTTTATAGAAGAATTATTAAACTTATGCTCGCGTCATCCAATTTCATTGTTCAATGTATGTAATTGATTTAAAAACTCTACTATTCAATATCTATGTAAAGGTGCATCATTGTAGATTAATCGATTTCCACAGCCTGTATCCGATAAAAAATACCTATCCACTTTATGGGGCCCGACTCTTGATTCTTATGACTGTATCATCAAAGATACGTTATTGCCAGAATTTCAAATAGGAGATTGGCTTGTTTGGAGCGACATGGGTGCATACACTTCTTCCTTAGCTTTCAAATTTAATGGATTTGAGCCACCAGTAGTTTATCCATTCATCAGAAAAAGCCAATGGTTAATATAAATATAAGAGATTTGTATTTTTCAAATATTATGATAACATGTTATAAATATCGTTTTTTTTTTTTTAGGGAAGAGTTTTGTGACATTACCAGATATAACATGAACTATTGGCTGTGTAAATTAGAATAAGCGGAAAACTTAATATTTTTCTAATAACGCATGAATATATGTACCATAAATGGTACATACAAAAATACTTATTAATTATATTTGTTTTTTTTCCATTTGATAATATACTTTTTCTTTTTTCTGCTAATATTATTGAGTCGGTTTAGATGGTACAGTGGAATTGTCAATATTCGAAGATAATATCTCATTCCATCTGTAAAAAGAAAAAAGACGAATAAAAAGGAGAAGAAGAAGAAGAAGAAGAGATTGGTATGAAAATAGTTTTTGATGAATGACAAATCGAAGCAAATTCAAACTTATTTACTCTTTTGCAGTTTGACATAATCCTGGTTCAAGTCCAGCATTCTTTTGCGCTTCAAACAAATCTTGTGCATTTATAATATCTTCGATAGGCGGAATCGACGACATTGAATTACGTACCTTTTTTTCAAAGACAATCATTCGTATTAGATTTAACAGAAGGCAAGAATGAAAATGTCTAGATAATATAATTGTCATACCATTTCTACTTTTGTCATAACTCTGATGAAATTTCTTCCAGCTAATTTTTCCAAATCTTCCCTACTCCATTCCGGCTCTCCTTCATGCTGTCCATACAAACGTTCAAATAAGGAAGGGTACTTTGATACGTCTTCTAAGCCTTCAGGTACTCTGAAAATCAGTTATCAGATATCATTATATCATTTAAATAATCAATAAATAATCTCTCACTGTATAATATATTATTTACTGACGCATTTACGCCATCATAATCGGCGCCAATACCCACATGATTTACTCCAACAATTTGTCTAATGTAATTAATATGATCTGCAAAAATATGATAAAGAAGTACAATTGCAAAATGATGACGTTTATTATTACGATTACGTTAATTATTTGTATTCTTTTACCAACGACGTCTTGCATAGTTGCATTTCTGGATGTATTGCAATTAACAAATTGCGAGTAAAAATTCACCATAACGATACCTTCATTTTCCCCCTGTTGATAAAGTAGAAAATGATTAAATACGAATAATGAAGCACATAAATATGTATTTTGGAATATTATTGACGTAACTAGAAAGTAAGACTTACAACCAAGCGCAGGACGTCGTCGGGAACATTTCGATAATTATTACAGATGCCAAATGCAGAGGAATGAGAAAATATAACGGGTGCTCTTGAAATAGCTAGAACTTGTCTCATAACGTTGTGGGAAACGTGTGAGAGATCGATTAACATACCAAGACGATTCATTTCGTGAACGAATGTCTAAAAAAAAAAATAATTCATTGCTTACACGTTAAGTTATGAACGATTGCTTAGTCAATTTTTTATGGTAAACAAATTACTCATCATACTTTTCCAAATTCTGTTAGATTGTATAGATATCCGTCGTTAATGGGCGATGCATCAGCCCTAAGATATAAAATAATAAATCCGATCATTAGAATTGGAATTATTGGAAGGTATGATCTGTAGGTAGGTAATCTGTTGTAATAAATTCATACTTACCAGGGCGTATTACAAGTATGCGTTAACGTAACATAACGAACTCCCAATTCATAATAAATCCTCAAAATAGCCAAACTGGAGTCTAAAGAGTGACCACCTTCAACCCCGATCATCGATGCAATTCGACCATTTCTCCAAACAACTTCAATATCTTTGGCAAATTTAACCAATTGCAAATGTTCTGGATAAAGATCTATAAATCTTTTGATCACGTCTATTTGCCGAAGTGTTAATTGTACTGCATCTTTGTATTGAGAATTACACGGCACGTATGCAACCCAAAACTATTATAATGAGATACAATAGTAAGTTAAACTATTAGATTTAAATGAATGAATAATATTACTCACTTGTCCACCAACTTTTCCAGCTTTTAAACGCGGTAAATCCGTGTAACACGTTGAACATGCTTCTCTTCCCCAAACTGGATCATCAACGAGTAACTTTTCAAATGGGAATTCTGTTAAATTGTTATTCAATTTCTCGTACAAATTAAATGGTAAATCGTTGTGTCTGCAAACATATTATCAATAAATTCAATCAATCTTACAATATCGTCGATCGTACCATCGTGATACGTACCCATCGATAAGAGGTGCCAAATCTAATATATCGCTACCTTTCAATTGATTTCCATTTAATCCAACGGATAAGCCAACAATCAATAATAACATTGACAAACAAACAGCCACGTTTATATACAACATTCTTCCGGTCAAATATTTCGAGATGAAAGTTTCTACAAAACAATTAATAAATAATATACGCATGTAATTGCATAATTGTTTAGAATTAACGATTTAACGATATGGATCATTGTATCAGGTGGATCGATAGTAGATATTGCGAGATGCAAACTTTATACCCCGATTTTATTTCATTTTATGTAAACAAAAAAAGAAGTAGTTATGATTAATTATTATTAAATCACCCATTATTAAGACATTCCAAGCGAAACCCAGATGAGAAATTGACCGTCTGACTGTCTCTTACTAGAGATAACTCGTCGCACAAATAACAGTTCGATGTGTATATCCTTCTCGGTGTTAATAGATTCTATGTACATATATACTGGGTAACTCTCTAATCGCAATAATATTCATTTCGTATGAACGCAAATAAATAAATAAATAAATCAATTGAACGAACAGAAAGAGATTTATGTAATTTAGTTAAGTCTCAATTATTAAGGGTACAATTAATGTTGTAATGACTAGTGTGTATTGTGAATTTACAAAAGGATTTTTCTTCAAATTTTTCGCATTTCAGGTGGGTAATACTCATTGTACTCCAGACTTGTTTTATTACTATTGTAAATGAAGGAGATATTTAATGTGGACAAAGTTTATTGCGGTACCTTGTATACATAACTTTTTAATTCCATCTCTCCCTACTCTTTTTGCATGTATACATATATCTATCATGTAGTCAACGTAATTACTTACGAAACTTGCTCCTTCTTCTTCTCTTCTTCTTCTTCTTCTTCTTCTTATTCTTCTTCTTATGCTTTATTTGATAAATACAAGATTACAAAATGCGATCGATATGTCTACTGACAGAATACTGACAATGAGCGAGTCCATTCGAATTATAATTATTGAATTTGATTAATCGCAAAGGTCGTTGAAAGATAATATAAATATTGATATAATTATCTTCAAAAAAATAAATTGAAGATTATACGTATGTGTGTGTGTGTGTGTTATACGCTGTGTGAGTGAAGTTTCCTATAATATCGACGGTGGTCGATATTGTAGGAAACTTATATATCTATAATAGATGGCAGAGGGAGAAACTGTTCCCTTTTAGTTCATGTTTTTGTTCATAGAGTTTTAAACAGTGTTAACAAATAATGGCTATGGATACCGTGTACAAACATTTAAAAATTCGAAACAGACCTTACAGTGTGAATGATATAGTGTTGAATTTACATAATGAATTTGGAAAGTCTGCTGTTCAAAAAGCTATAGATCACTTACTCGCGGAAGGAAAGATTTTTGAAAAAGTAAGTAGAAATAAATATAACATTGTAGAGTCAGTCATCGCGTATACTATTCTTATTACACACAAATATAATACTTAATGTAATATTTGAATATTTTATTAGGTCTATGGAAAGCAAAAAGTTTATTGTGTCGTTCAAGACTCGACTAAAGATATAGAAGAATTAATGAGAATCGATAAGGAATTACAAGTGCATGCAAACGAAGTAGAAACTAGGTATCAAGATCTTGAGAAAGAGATAAAAGCTCAAGAAACTTTGTTGGCATCATTAAAGTCATCTGTCACTCTCGAAGAAGCACGCCGAGAGAAAGTTTTGCTCGAAGAAAGTATTGAAGTTTTAACCAACAAGTTAAATATACTTATCGCATCTACTGGAAGTACCGATTTAACCGAAATGAAAAGAAAAACGCAATCTTCCTTAGACGAATACTCTCGTGAATATCTTAAACGTAAAAGATTATGTACAGAATTAACAGACTGCATTTTGGAAAATTATCCTGGTACTAAAAGTGAATTATACGATGAAATAGGTATAGATCCAATGATTATTAAATAATACGACTAATAGAAACAATATAATAATATATTTTTGTTATATCGTGGGATAAGGAGGATACAAACAAAGGCGTGGTAATTCATTGCGTGCTTTTTTTTTTTTTTTTTTAAAGCGTCTCGTCTTCCATTAGCCAAATAATTCTACAATCTTTTGAAGCTTAAATAATGGGTCGAAATGTTTAGACCAGGATTTTTTATCGTCGGATTTCATATAAGATCCTTCCAGGACGCACTTACCATTAAGACAAAACTACAAAGAACAAATAATTCATTATAACTAATTAATAATTAGGGTCTAATGTGTTACACTTACAACACCATTTCCGCAAGAAGAGCCTTCGGCTGCTGGAGCTATAGCTGTACACGCTCTCGTGGTTCCTGGTACTAAACAATCTAATCTAATACAGGCGGTATGATCGGGCTGAAAAAATACCAATATTCGAATGCATTTAATTAATTTTATAATCGTCGTCATATATTTTTGACTTCAACTTACATTGCACGCTCTTGTTCCATGTCCGTGGACTTTTTTACACTGATAATCTAGTGACATTAATTTGCCAGGTAGAATTCGTGGTAACGGAGGACCTCGGACGGGTTTGTTGTAAAGACATTTTGCTCTTTCTTCGCTGTAATAATAATAATAATAATAATAATACTCTTAGATATGTTACGAATAGGATATGAAATAGGAAAAAGGGAAAGCTTACTTGAGGAATGTATAAAATGCTTGTATAGAACAGTTGGACCATTGAAATCCATTTTCATTGAGCAATAGTCCGCTGGTCATAATGAATCCGTCATCCGCCGAACAATTGGTAGCGTATTTGGGATTACCGTCGTGTCTTGCTCCGATTCTACAATTGTTATCTTTTCTTTAGAATTTACAAATATATCACACACACACTCATATGAATTTTCGTAAAGATAGTAACGTACAGATGGCCAACTTCATGAGCAGCTGGTATAATTCCGCTGAAACCACCATTGTCTTCTACGATACTAGCCATTTCGGAAGTTTTATTATCGTCTTGTCTATTACATGCTCCTGATACGTATGCATAACCTGTGTAAAGTACATCCAAAATAAAATATTAAATATCTAAAATAATGTCAAGGTACTTATTTACCTAGGGTCGAATCATCGCAATAATCATCAAACATGTTGCATAAATCTAATCTGAAAAAGAGTTAATACTTGTATTTGTTCATTCATATATTTCTTATTTATTCGTCTTATTTTATGTGCATATGTGTCGTCGTCTATATGTTACGGTCAATGTACTACGATCGCGAACGACAATGATAATTTGTCATCAAAATATACTTCATCGCAACAATTCTTCTTCTTCTTCTTCTTCTTCTAGTTCTTCTTCTTCTTCTTCTTCTGTTTTGGATGTATGCTAGTTAGTAAGTAAGGAAGAACGAGGTGATTCTCTCTCCATTTTTCGTTCTTACCCGGAATATATACATTGATCGTAACATATATGAGTTCTTACTGTGTCATAGTGATCGCTATGTCGAAGAAACCTATTGGAAATCTTGTCTCTCGATAAATATAATCTCCCATTTCGCGTAAGGCTTTATCGACGTCTACCAAAAGAGATTCCTCTTCTAATCGATTATTTTCTATATACGGAGTTGCATCGTTATCCTGGAATCAAATTAATTCAATATATAAAAAAGTTTTTCATGTAGAACTTGGAAAAGAAAATGTGTAGCTCCTCACCAAGGCTATAACTATACCGGCAATGTTGAATCGAATTTTAGGATTATTTAATAATCTGTATCTTAAATCGACACCGTTCCAAAACGAAAGGATATATCTCATAGCGTGTTTCACGTTTCTGCCAACCAATCTGAACAATTTGTAAAATCATTAGTGTAGTTTTTTTTTTATATACTCGTACGTTATGTAGGCATAATTAATTAATAATTGATTGAAATTCAAAAAATCATATTTTCCTCACTCATATTCGCTGTTGTCCATTATGATTAAAACTTCTGGATAGATAACATCCGGTACATTACGCTTTTCTTTTACAATGCTATCGTATTTCTTAGAATTTGTTAATTCTGCAAATGTTATATTATGAATGAATCGAGATCCAATTGCTAGAATCGAATTGTTGAAGAAGGCAGCATAAGCGGTTTGGAACTTACTAAAGTCTTTATACTTTTTTTTCTTCCCTTCCGGTATTTGATAAATAACGTGATGATAAGTATAAGCGTGCTCGTCATTTTCAGTTACATTTTCAGTATGATGAGGCTCGTATGAATTATCTCCGTTGTAAAGTAGGCCTTGTAAAATTCGTTCGGGTATAGATCGAATGATCGTATTGGTAATACCAATAATTCCGTCCTCGAAAGAACATTTGATCGATTATTTATTTCATTGTACACATTGTTGTAGTGTAGTACAGCATATAGATAGCATTTACTTACGATTATCAATCTTTTATTAGCATCCAAGTTCATCAGTATCGACGCTGTGTTATTCATATCGTGAAATGTATGACCTAGATTTCGCATAGCCTGCAAGAAATATCGAAAATATTTCGTTGTAATAAAATAATCTATAAAAATATCTCTACTTACGTGCGGTATTAAAGTATATTTCAATCCTTCGGGATAATCTGAATCGGAAGACACAGTCCAAACAGGGGTGCGTGTGCTAGCAAGTATTCCCTCCGTAGGATTTAGATACAATTTAATGTCTCGATCGAATGCTTTCAATTGTATTTCTTGATTATCCTCCAAACTTCTTCGGTGGGCAGTGTGTTTTATTGGAACGACCTCGTAATGCGGTACTATAGTTCATTTATTATTTTTATTAAAACTTGTTCTCTTTCTTTTTCCTTCTTTTCCTTTTGATTGGAAATACATTCGAGTTAAGTTGAAACAATATTGAATATACCTTGTTCGTGATTCGTATGAAATATTCCCATTACTTCTTCCGGTGTCATGTATTCGTGAAGCTTGAAATTCAAAGCAAACGTTTGATTATAGATTCAATGAAATGTTGACAAAGTTATTGAATAAAAATATGACAAATAAATACTTTTTTGCATTGTACGAAAGACACAGTTATCGTACATAAGAAAATGATTATCCGCAACATTATTAGAGAAATCGACGGCTCCTTGACGAATGAGAACGTGTAACACGTGAGAAGGTAACACGTTGGAAAAACGTACAAGATTTATCAACATCCGTGCTTATATATAACAATGGAATAAGAAATATTTGTAATTTGAAGAAAAAAAAAGAAACACTTGTTCATATAACGTTCATCAAATCATATCATCAAGTCATACTTGCTAACGGACAAAATTGATGATAGATTAGAGTAAACGAGGTAATAAATTGTTAACAATAAGATACTGTGTCAATACAATTATATTCCCAAAAATATGATTATAATGATCGAATTACGTGAATTATTTATTTATGATTTTAATAAACGTAAGCCAAAACAAAGGTGTGTTCTTTGCATAACGTCGATGACACTTTCTTTTTATTGATTTAGATGAATTTCAATCGATTCCAATAATTTACTCAAATCTACTTCGTGTAAAGTATTTATTATTTTCTTTGATACACGAAGGAAGAATCCGAGATGGTCGTTATTAATTACTACTACTACTCGTTTATACGACCAATCTTTCGAAACATTCATTTATTTATAAACAATACACAATATATGTGGACCTGCCTCGAATATCTTAAGAAGGAAGACACAAAACGCTCGATATGAAGTATATTTCTTACATGTACAATTTTTCTTTCATATCGCAGAGGAATCTTTCGCATAATCTCTTATTCTACATCGCTGCTAATATTGATATTAATACTAATACTAATAATAATAATAATAATAATAATAATAATAATAAGATAGAAATTAAAATTAATGATAATAATAGAATTACAATTAATAATAAATATCCAGCCAGGAGGGTAAAAGATCGAAAGGCAGTAAACATTTATTTGTTGTATTCACGTAAAATGAAGAGGAAAATGATCTACAGAAAAATCAGGTAAAATCGATCCTCTGCTAGATCATGCCGAAAGAATCCTCGAGATCTCTGTAAAGAAATTGAAATGAGAAAAAAAAAGAGATCTTTATTTTCTCGATTTTTGTTCTTTTCATTTCCCCGACATAATCATAAATTTGTGTTTGTTTTTGTTTGTGTTTATCGAAAATATCCATGGGAGTTTTTAAGGGCAGATAGTTTCCAAGGACGCACAGCAACGACTTTTTACAGATTGCAAATGGCATAGCCATGTTCCCAGCCTGTCAATCAGATCCAAGCAGTCGGGTCCTACGTCCGTGCACTCTTCATCGTCCTCTGTTTCTAACATAATATAATTGGACATTTTATTAGTCATTTTTTCATTAACGCGCATCTGTTGTCAAAGTGAAAAAGTGAAAAAGAAAGAGAGAGAGAGAGAGAGAGAGAGAGAGAGATTAATTTTCTACACACAAATACAATAATAAATATATATTATTCCCTCCTAGAATTAGAATTAGTAAAGTAGAATAGAGTAGTTAATTTATTTGTAAGTAGTAATAGGAAACTTGGGTATGTCATATGTCATATGTCGTCATTTGTTTATGTAATATATGAATAAAATTTGATCGATATTCTATTCGTATTAGTCGTCGTCCATCCAGTTTACATAGAAAAAAGAAGACATTCTCTCCGCCTTCATGAAAATGATGTAAAATAATGATCGAGCTTATGGTCCGCATTTCTGCTCATGATTGATTGATTGACTCGTTTAGTTATAACGTGTATTATTATTACATTTTGTACAATTATTATTGAAATCCTTTTTCCATGGTTAAAAATTCATCTCGTGAAATTTTGGTAAAAATGAAAAACCAAAAGAACCACGAAAAGTGATGACATAGTAGATATAGAGAATAATGAGAAACATAGATTTCAATATTAGAAAGACAAACAACAAAAGATAGAAAGAATTGAATTTGGATTTTTGATTTTCACACAATTCTCTTACCACGACTATCATTTTGTTGGCCATTTTGTTGGCCATTTTGGAGGCCACTTTGAAGAACCAAAGTCGTCGGAGAAAATGACGTCACACTTGGCGTGGTCTTATGTTTGAACGGTATAATTTTCGGATAATTAACGTCGTTTGGATTATTATTGACAACTTTTGGCGTAGAATTGACGTTGTAATGAAAATTAAAATGATATCTGTTGCTTTTCTTGCTAGTCGTAGTAGTGCTTCGATTAACACTATTGCTGACTTTTCCATAATTGTTGTTATTGTTACTATTATTTTTATGATTATTTTTAATTTTATCATTAATGGCAAGTAGATTATTGTTGGCAGTTGTGTACGTGTATTTGTATACCGTTGATGTAGGTGTAAATTGACGTTTAATGTTTGTGCTAGTGGTTGTGGTAGTAGTGCTTGTGCCTGTTGTACTTGACGCCAATAAATTTGGAGTTATGTATGGAGAATATTTATTTTTAGATTTTGGTGATGTATATGTTGTTCCTTCCCATGGATACCTGTGTGGAATATTATTTCAATGTTACTCCATTAACCCTTTAAATGCATCTGCCAATTTTCCTTGCATTACAGATAGACGAATATTGGACAGACATTGGACAGACATTGGACAGACATTGGACAATTATGATGATTTAAAGGGTTAAATTACCTTCGATAAATTCATTATAGTGATAAATATTAGTAGAAAGAGCAAAGTTACCTGTAATCCGTGCTATTATATTGTGCATGAGGTCCAAAAGTACCGTCTCGGCGTACGTACGTTGGAATATTTTGCGTGTAATCGGGTATTATATTTTCATGTTCGGCGACGCATTTGCCATTAAGACAATACTACAAATTCAACAGACAAATCAAATTAATTATACATTTTGTTGTTCGCATTTTTTATGTCTTACCTGGCCATCGCCACATGGAGAACCTTCGGCTGCGGGACGATATGCCACGCAATAACCGGAGCCAGCATCGAAGCAGAATAATTGTGCACAAACTCTATCGTCTTTCTGGTCCCACCCCCCAATAAGAAATCCAATTTATCATATAGAATATTTAGAAAAGAAAATATTTCGTAAGTCTTTACTTACGAAACAGGCGCTAGTTCCCCGATCTTTACGGCACTGAGCATCCAACGAAAGCAATTTGCCTGGTAAAACTCTGGGCAATGCTTCGTCTTCGTGAGGTGCATTGTACAAACACGTTGCAGTGTCTCCGCTGAAAAATACAACAACAATAACAACAACAACAACTTATTCATATTTTCGTCAATCAATGCTACTAATCGTCAATCAATACTAAGTAGCAATATAGTACTTGAGAAAATGATGGAAGGAAGACACACTGCAGTGAGACCATTTGAATCCCTTTTCGGTATGTCTGAGATCGCTCATGATATAACCATCTTCCCAACGACATTTCTCAGCCCCTGGTCCACCGAGATAACTCGGTGGTGGTGAACCATCGTGCACTGCGCCTAGTCTATGATATATATTCGTTCTCGTTTATTATTTACATTTTGCCAAAGATATTTGAAAAATATTCAATAAACTCACAAGTGACCAACTTCGTGCGCTGCCACTATAATTCCGCTGAAACCACCGGTGTCTTCTATGATAGCAACCGAGTTGACTTTTTCTAAACGTTTGTTAACCACACAGGCACCGCCGACGTAAGCAAATCCTGTAGGATAGGATTAATCGATTATTCAAGTAAATATATTCAAGTATAATGTTACTTTTCAATTCGTTAGAGAGTCAACCTTTTGTTATATTAATGTAAAAGCTCATTTCTAGCAGGGTTACCAGAGCAGAGCGAGGAATCAAACCCGGATCGTAACGACGATCAAACCCAGAGTCAGGGTTTTTAGCATAACTAATTTGCCTTTGCATTAGAAACGCAATTGAGATGCGCGTTACTTGTTAATTATTACCCATGGAACAATGACAAAACGAATTCGTTCGAAGCTAATTTATTCTAACGATCATCATGCAAACAGCTGTTAATAATCCTGATTAATACGAAGACAAAGTATATCTTTCTTTCAAAGCACGAATCTCATTAGATCATTTTCTTTTATCGCGTCTTCATTTTATTTTTTCTACGTACAAAAAGAAGGAATTTTTATTTAATTTTCTCCTTTCTTGTCACCCTATACGTATATATATGTATATATATGAAACTTACCAAGAACAAACGATTCCCATTAGTCGATAAACGCAGCCGACAAAATAATAGAAAGATGTATCATACCCATATCATAGTTAATTCGCAAATGACACATTTCAAAGAGAAAACGATAGAGATGAATTTTCGATGCAGGCATAGACACACGTATACATGTATACAAACAAATCGGGTTGAAATTGAAAAAAGCAAAATTGTGCATAGAAGACATTTGATTTTTCCAAAATTGTCACACGAAAGAAAAAAAAAAGACTTCTTATCATAAAAGAGAAAAGCAAAGAAACCAAGTATCTCTAGAGATAACAGAAACCATAATCAAGCTTTAGAACGAGGAACCGTAAAGAGAGTGAGAGAGAGAGAGAGAGTGAGAGAGAAGAAGAAGAAGAAGAAAAAAAAAATTTCAGATAGCAACAAATCCATTGCTTACGGGGGTATGGGTCGGGGTTGGGAATTGCTAGATGGCGAGAAGAAAAATCAAACAAGGAAACACATCGACCGCAAGACACATACTTGAGAGATTTGTAATGAAAGTGTGGTGGAATGGTAGTGGATGTAGCTTTTAAGATGGGAAAGAGGCTTTTGTCGAGAAGAGATTAGACAAAAAAAGGTCTGCCATTTGGTTTTTATTTGATTCGGCATTACTTCGAGAAACGTACCTGCGGTTCCTCTATTGCACACGTCATTCGCGTATTGCCTCCTGCACATATCTAATCTGTAATGTAACAATACACAAAGTTTGTCTTTACATGTTAAAAAAAAAAAAGAAAAGTAATATACTTTTTCGCTAGACGAGCAGATCTTTGATCTTAAATTAATTATTTGGGCTTTTAGAAATTTTTCATGTTCTTTTTATACTCTAACGAAGAGGGGGGGGAGAACGGGGACTATTTGGACGGAAAGAAAAGACGAGAGAGAGAGAGAGAGAGAGAGAGAGAGAGAAAGAGAGCGAATGAGATAGTTAATGTGAATAAACAAAGGATAGAAGAGAGGTGTAGAGACAAATTCCACAAATATGGTCGATGTTGAAGTCGAAGAAATATTTCAGTATCCTTGAAGTGTTCATCTCTCTTTGTCCGGGCCTAAATTCTAAAAATGTTAGATGATTAATGATTATTTTTTTAATAGCCCTTTCTATTTTCTTCCTAACCAATATTTTGTTTGTTTCTAATGTTAGCTCGTGAAATTAAAAAGCATACTAATTTTATCGATACGGCTAAATTAGGGTTTCCAATTGGTCACAATGAGAATGACATACTTGTACGATAAGGATTCTTAAATGTAGCTATCAATAATTTGAACAAGAAATGTTGTTAGTTTTTCATATATTAATGAATTATTCCAAATATGAACTTTATTATTTTGCTTCATCCTTCCCGAGGTATATTTCAAATAAATACTAAATCTATCGATATGAATTTGTCATTTGATATAATCACAATTAGTTATTTAAAAAAAAAGCAATGAAAATATTAAATGAAGCACCCTGTATATATATATATTACAACTACTCTTACTACAACTACTCTTATCTACTTGTGGCATTTGATATTATAAAAAAGCATTGATTTATAAATTATATAATAAATTTGTTTTAATTTTTTATTTTTCTGGATATCCATCCCCTCCTATTTATTCTCTCTTGGAAAGAAAATGTTAGAAATAAAGAAATATTTGTTGTTGTAATAACTGTTGTTAAAACTTTGAACAATTAATCGCTGGCGCATTATGTACAAAAGTTAAGACGACAAACGATAATAAATATTAAGATATTATATAAAATAAGGTAAAAAATAAATGAAGCGTGTTCGCTATGTAATAAACCATACCGGCAGTTCCCTTAGTGCAGCGGCCGCCTTTCCTACGACGGCACATATCATACCTGTTTTTCGAAATAAAAATCGGCAGTATGAAATCATAGGTAAGCTGTGAAGAATTTATTTAGAGTCTCTATATATATGTATATAAAAAAATATTCATTTCATTTAGTTTTGGATGTATCCAATCATGAAACAAGCACAGACTTGCATTACTTGTCTTCTTTTTTCATTTGATCAATTATGCTTGTTTCAAGATCGAACTATTTCTCGTGGTCGAATTTGCTTTCTTTGGTCCACCCGACGATTACGCATGAAAATTCAAATAACGTTATCTTATCTATCTATCTATCTATCTATATGTTGTTCTTTTTTATTTAAGTCTATCGCTTACTTCGTCACTGCTACGGCAATATCGTAGACGGGAAGTCTCCTTTCTCGGAAAAGATATTTTCCCATATCGGTGAGAGCAGCTGCCGAATCAATGGCATCCCTTCCGACGCGATTTCTTTCCAAATATGGCGTAGCGTCTCGACCCTAAACAATTTGCCAATTATTATTTTTTCATCTTACCCTTATTATTATTATTATTATTATTATTATTATTATTAACCTTACCCTCGATATTATTATCCCGGCTATACTGATACGTATTTTTGGTCCTTTCAATAATTTATACCTTAGATCGACGCCATTCCAAAATGATACAAAGTACCTTTTTATCTGTACGTTGTCCCCACCGTGAAGTCTATCAAATAATACAACATTTTCTTTATTCATCTTTATTTCTAATTTCACATGATTATTTTATTATTATTACTATTATTATTGTGTTATTTCGTTTAACCTGTATCCGTCGTAATCAACGATACAAAGAATTTCTGGATAAATGACATATGGAGCTTCTCGTTTGGACCTATTACCCGAGGAACGTTTAGTTCTGTATTTTTTGGCCAGGTGATCGGGCTCCATTAATGCTGAAAAAGATATAAAAAGGATGAGATCATTTCTGAATAGTGTTTCATCGAAACTCGAGACAAATTACTAACCATAATCGCTGTATTCGTCGCCGTCGTTGAAAGGTTTACGAAACTTTTTATAGACAACGTGATGATTCGTAGGTTTTAGCTTGTTCCTCAGAACAGTGGTTACATTTGGTAATAATTCAGGCTGCATTAGACTCGTGCTTTTACTCACGACTTCCTGGATAACTCGTTCGGGAAGCGGTCGTATCACCAATTCTGAACCGATGTTGCCATCCTGCCACAAATCATTTTACAGGCATTACATTTGAGGGATTCATGACAAAATATTTTTCTTTACTTTAGATATGTTAATAGTGCAGTGACCTTATCAAGTTACTCAACGGCGGCATAACGGAGTTCTTTCTCTATGTATGCATTTATATACTCGTATACATTGGTCAGATGAAAAGGGAAAGGGGAGTGAAAGCGAAAGGTCAGAAGACATGAGGTCACTTGGAACAACTTAGAACTTAGTTCCATTATGCAATGGCGTACTAGAGGTAGTAGAGGTATCTAACAACCCTGCTCGATCGAATTCGACTTTGGGCCCTAAAATCTATCTTTTCATACTTTTACCGATGACTTTATAATTGCGTAATCGTTGTTCCTTTTCATTTCCTTTTTGGTAAATCGAGTTGTCGCAACAAACTTCCTATGCGAAACCACTAATGAAAGATCATCGTATTAATGAATTATAAAAAAGGGAAAATGTCAAAATGATGGTAACTCGGTTTGGTTGAAAATGCTTGTTAGAAAAAACTCTTTCCTACAAATATAACTCGTGTTTCATTTTGATGTAAATTTGTGTTTGCTACCGTTACGAAAGACGAGTAAATAACGGCGAGATGAAGTGGAATCGGTGCTAGACGATACCAGTATAAATTGACTTGGCAATGTTTAGAAGAAGCTGTATATATAACCGTGTAAATAAGGTTGCGAGAACACCGTTAAACCGTGTGAAAGTATCATCTATACACGAATGGCCTTTCCAGCATCGAATACGAGTACTTCCTAGCTGACCAAAATTAATCATTTTGATTGTTTCATTTAAGTACCTTGATAAAAAGTCCAGAGTAGCGGGTACCCGCATTTTAATAAACGTACAAGCGCTATATAGCGTACACAATTATATATTAAATATTTGCAAATGCAATATACTCGTATACTATATGTTACGACATTAGTCCGTGCATATTAGACAGAACTCTTCTAATCGAGTTATCTCAAATACGTTAAATGCTCTTGAAGAATACTTTTTGATGGCTCTTATTTGAAGTAAATATAGAAGAACATACTTAAGAACAACGGCAATTGCAATTTGTCTCTTACTTTGTACTTACTAATCGTGTGTCGAGAAAAAAAGGAAAAAGAAAAGAAAAAGGAAAAGGAAAAAAGAAAAAAGAAAAAAGATAAAAACAGTTACATTAGGATGAATCGCGGTATTGCTATAATTATGACACGGTAGCTGGGTAAGTCGTGCCAGTTGACGAAAGACGGACGGGTCCGCAATAATGGAACGGTGTCGAAAGAAACATTAAGAAAGAATGGCTTCTTACAACGAGTACTTTCCCATTCGCGTCCTGGTGCAGTAGAATCGACGCCATATTCCTTCTATCTTGATAAATGTCACCGATATCGGTCTAAACAAAATTCCAAAATAACGTCAATACAAATAATGAAGTATCTCTTCCATCTTATATTGTTTTTTTTTTTTTTTTTTTTTTTTTTCATTGGAATACTTACATCGAAGACTCGTTCGTAAAGAAGACCATCAGGATGAGAGTCGTTTTTCGTAACGGTCCACATTGGCAATTGATTAGGCGACAATAATCCTTTCGTTGGCTTTAACGATAGACTAATATCACTCCCAAATGCCTTTAAATGTACCTCGGTTTTTTTTCCAGAACTTCTCTTATGTATCGAATGCAAAACCGGTACGATTTCATACGAGGGTACTGGAAACGTTATTTTTATTATTTCAAAGTATCATAGAAAAATGGAACGTCAATCTAACTATAAGAAGAAAGATAAAAACAAATTGTCGAGCGAACCAAAGAAACTTGTATCGTATTATTATTATTATTATTATTATGCCTTTTTTATTTGGTTATGTTGTCTTATGTTGTGTCGTTACCAGATTCGTGTCCCGTGTGAAAGACCGATAACATCTCTTCTCTTGTCATATGCTCGTGAATCTGGAAAACAAAAAAAGAAAAAAAAAAGAAATAAATTACATAGGAGTTATTACAGGTGTACTACACTACTACTACTACGTTTGATTTTGTAGAATAACAAAATTCAATAAAAAAGTCATAAAGGAAAAAAAAGAAAGAATTTGATTATGAATTGGGAGAATCCATAGTCCGTGACGCGATCGCTGTTCGATTATGTAAATGACGTAAACTTAGTAGTAGTAGGGACCCTTCGAAACCGGTAGTGTCGCAATTTCATTCTCTCTCCGAGAGTACGTATAATAATACTCTCCTTGTTATGGAGGAACATTAGAATTTTTTTTACTATTCCCACGATTACGTAGCGATTCAAGTTTTCCACGGTGTTATATTTCAACGCTTTCGCGATTTCGCGATTTCGCGAAATTGCTAATTTTTCTTTATCCGATTTGATCATCGGTTATTGACCGAACGAAACGTTACTAAAGTAATCGCTTAGAGTCAAGCTCGATCATTATTACAGGCTGCTTCTCCTTTTATGCCAACGCTTCGGACAACAACCGATAGTTACGTGCTCGTCATAAGGAAGTATTATATTCCTGCTCATTAGATTGAACTTTTGTCGGAGTCATTGGCACGAATTTTGTTCTTTTTCAAGGCCAGACGCGACATTTCTCTTCTTAGAACAGTAGTTATTACTACCCTAATATGAGTGAAAGTGATCGACCTTACAAGCTACGTAGATACAACATTTAAAAAGATGATAATAATAATAATTAACGAAAGGATTAACCACCAAAAGATTGCTGATTGATCTTCGTTTTTTTTTATTGTTTTTTTTGTTTTTTTTGTTTTTTTTTTTTTTCCAAAAAAATAAAGACGTGTATGGACGTAAGTAATTACGCGTGTCCATGAACGTGTCTCTTTATATTACGTATATTTTATTACCTTGTGGCATCGTGCGAGTGGTAGAACGGCCATGCAGAGAAGGACAAGGGCGCGAATCATTTTGCGTGAAAATATTCCCGATTGGCCGCGTCACGTCGCTGAAACAAAAATATATGACGACGTATATGTATAATAATGAAATCTGTAGAAAATCCAATGAAATTGCGTGATCAAAGCGTGATCGAATCTAATCGATTTGTATTATTTCTTCTTTTTATCTTTCTATTAAATATTGGCTACATTCGCTTTTATAGTCGCGTTCAAATGTTTCTTACCGATTTCTAAATTTAATGCTTAATCGAGCGAAATAAATGCATTTCTTTTCTACCAAATGCATCTCAATAGAAGAATTGATCATCGATTTAATTTTATCGATTTATTTTTATCGATTTATATGTTCAAATCTATGCAATTTCTGAAGAAAAATAATTCCGTTCATTTCGTCCTCCGAAAAAGATCTATTGTTTCAACTTCTAATACAATTGTAATGTCTAGTCATGGAGTAATACTACGGTGTCGACCTTCTTTAACGAAAGGAAAGTCGCGTTTTGCAGTTTATCGAGGTCATCGGGCAGAAACCTTAACTCCCACGAAAGGATTATGATGGGGTGTCTCTCATGCCATTATAATTGTAACATCATTTTAGATCAATTTTTCTCCTATTCTCCATAGTGAAAGTCATTAACAATAAGATAAGAAATTGCCGAGTAGGAAAAAAGTTGCTTCTATCAACACACACACACACACCCAATGGTAATGTAGTGTGTCCTTACTATTGTAAATTGTACAAAAATGTAGTTGTTGTAAAAAACCTTTGATCCGTTTTTCTTCGAGTTTTACCATAACAGGGATGGATAGTTTGCTCATCGCGTCAACGTACAATTTTTGCTCATTGGATTGCTTGCTTGTTGGAAGATGAGAAGAGGAGATCTCTTATGCCCTCGCAATGGTCAAAGAATCGAGGTCAAACCAAACTTGTAACAAACTCATTTCTTCATAAAATGTATGTACAAACTTAATAACCAACCGAATAATATTAGTAAAACAGAAAGGAGGCTTATCGCCGCGTTCACTCATAGACAACATATTTTACATCCCATTTGAATTTTGCCAGTGTTTATTTTTACAACGACAAGAGAAACACGAAAGCAAAGTTACGGAAACATTCTCATTAAAAAGGAAATCCATTACCAACTGGTTAGTTGTTTCACTTTCGTTCTTTCTTTTGTAAAAAGATAAAGAAAAAAAGAATAGAAACAAGACCAAGCAGAAGTTATTGAAGAAACCGAGAAAGAAAGAGAATCATGGTGTAACTTGTACGATCTCGAAAGTTTCTTCGCGTTTGATTGCATTTCGTAAGAAAATAGATAAAAGAAGACAAATCTTTTTTTTCTTAGCTAATTTTTGTAATATCCAATGAGCGGATATCGAACGAACGAACGAACGAACGAACGAACGAACGAACGAACGAACGAACGAACGAACGAACGATCGATCGATCCTTCATGAAAACGGAGACAAATCAAGGACAACGCGTTATCTTCTCAAGAGAGTGAAATGAAAGAGATGTAATCTCATAGCCTGAATACATATGTGAAATAAAAAAAAGCAACATACAAATTAGGTTTTTTTCTTCCTCTCTCGTTGTTGTTGTTGTTATTATTATTATTCATTTAATTGAAAGCTTTGGAAGCCTTTGAAAGTCTTTGGAAGAAATATCGTAGGTAATATCGTGGGTAAAAATAAAGGAGTTTATTGTCGAACGGAATGATATTCGTCGAGGACAACAGCTATGCTGGTGCTATATGCGCACCAATGACGTGTCCCTGAATAATAAAGGACAACGTTGAATCCAAGAAGGAAGCCTTCTGTCTTTTTCCTTTATTTTTCTTCCCGAGTACAAAGCTGTAATCGAAACATATCGACTGCGAATAAGAAAATGCATCTTATAAAATAATGCTGTGGAATTTGGAACGAGATCACGAGACCATATCCGCTTGCATTTCATGGGATATGAAATATAGCGTGTGAAATGAAATTTAACCTCGACAACGTTCTCTCTCTCTCTCTCTCTAGTAAAACAGTAAATACATTTATAACGATTTACAAATAATAATCGATAATGCAAGTGTGAAGTACGTAAATGTTCTAATTGCTTTTTAAGATATGTGTATACGCGCATATTTTACTGAAAATGATCTTAAGGAAATGCACAAACGAAATGATACATTATTCATGATATTACATGTACTACGTTGAGATTCTCGAGAGTGACCCTGAAGATTGCGTTCCGAGGCTTCTAACGTTCCAAACACTACTATTATAATAATTATTTATACAAATTGATGGATATGAAAATCAATAGCGTCGATTTGGCAACTGATCGAATGTTGTTTTGTTACCAAAGTAACAACAATACAGCCCTGTGATTCTAATTTTGCAATGTAATTAAGTAGATAAAAAATTTGGAAAGATTCGATTTATTATTACTCTCGGAGGAAAAAAAATATAAGAAGCTGGACCAGACGATCGTAAAACGCTACCACCAGCATAATTAGCATATTTCGTAGAAATATGTACGACACAATATTTAGGCGATATTCATTCTCTCTAGGAAACCGGTTTCGATGGTACTACATATGTACATCAGTTGCAAATTTTCTTCAGAAATAAGCACCAAATTAATTGTGACTATTCCTTTCTTATCTACACACAACGATTTGACAAACTTTAAATCATCGATTTTATCGTCGTTGATTTTCTAACGGTCCTACAACTTTACAGATTATAATTACGTCTTATTAGATACCTACATCGTCTCGTACGTCAAAACGGTAGGAGTTTAAAATCAATGCGAGTTTCAACGAGTTTACTACTACTGCTTACTAATGCGTTGATGATGCACACGTGATCGAAGACTAATATAAAATTCGACATTTCTTAACGCATCTTCTATCTCGGTTCTCACGGTCTTCCCTAATTTAATTATTCGTCATTGGCAAGAAAAAAAAAAAACATGGCAAAATATTCATTCTACGAGACGAACGAGTTCTACGAACCTGATCGTACCTGCGATTTCCGATGAAAACCAATGAAAGACAAGTGTAAACGATGTGACTATCCTAAATAAATTATCATAATATTTGCTTTTTTCACGCTGCTTTTGTCACGCAAATATTTTTAAATAAATCTTTATTTTGTCCTTAAACATTATTGTTTAAATAAAATCTCTAATTTCAACATGAATTGTGTATAATGTTGCATGGCCATTGCACGTAACGATTACTACATGCACGCAACAATTACAGGTATGTAATGACAACCCTGTAGTTGGCATGATCTATGAACTATGCGATAAGAAGATGAACATGAAGATGAACATGAAGATGAAGAAGAAGAAGAAGAAGTCGAAGAGTCGACGATTAATCTTTAAAGTTACTGCAGTTTGCGCAATCCCATGGAAGAAGATTATTAGCTAGCGAGAAAAGGTTAGCCAACTTTCTAACGCAAAATAGAGTCACGTGCATGCCGTCGGTATACGGTGTACAAATCGAAACCTTATCGAAATCTTCTGAAGATCTAATGATTAACTTAATGACATCATTTTTCTCACCTAATGTCGATGCAACCCTTAATATAATCAAGAGTTAAATTAATGCTTCTATCCGCTCTGATAATTCTTTTTCTTTATTTCTTCCTTTTCATTCATCGTCGTCGTATCGGTTGACGGAATCTCAACTTTGCGGTGACCACAATGATATTGTGTTGCGATGGCACCAACCTTGACCCGTATCGAACTAGACCGCCGATCGATCCTAAAGTAGGTTCTTCGTGTATGCACATTTCGAAATGATCGACCCAACAGAAATTTCACTTCGACCGTGACTCGGGTCGGAAAGTGATATGAATGAGGTTCTTTCTATCTGCCCGAGTCTACGTGTACGTGCTGGCTCTCGACGTACCTGCCTGTGCATCAACAATTACCAAAATGACCAATCAAACATATGATTTTACTTATTTATTTTGAGATTCTTTTAGACAGAAGGTAGTAGTATTGGCTCATTTGAATGGATATCACAGCTTACCACCAACGTGCACGGCAGCAAAGCTTCTCAACCTTGACCCATATATATATATCTGTGTGCGTGTGTGTGTGTGGTTAACATGCCTTTATGATAAATTTACGATTGAGTGTGAGTCTACAAAATTATATGTCACTTTCATGTGCTACCTAATTAATAAGACATTTTTCTCTCTCCCTCTTCTTCCTATTAGATTTGCCGTGTCAATGCAGTTATTGTATTTATTCTCTCGAGGTTAATTTACTAAGTATTATTAATTAATTCATCTAGTTATTGTTAGCCGCGTAGCCTTCCATCGTCGTTCAAATTGTTAACTCTATGTTTTTATCTTAGGTTTGGTATAAAAAATGGTAGTAACCTTGACACGTGTACACCCCTCTTTGAAGTGGTGAGGATTTGCACGCGAGTAGCATATTAAACAGACTAGCTGGAAATCCAATGGAAAAATGTCAATTAAAGAAAAATATCATTGATAATAACTAATTGTTGCATTATTATTTGAATTGGTGTATTTTTCATCACACCAGGGGATCACAACAAATGGATACGTATGTATATTTTGGTTGTGCATTTGAATGCTCTTTGGTAGAACTTATCGATTCGTCGTATCAACAAAATTATGCTCGCAAATCACGTGCTATTCGAAAATATTCTCCTTGCGCGTGCACTTGACACGGAAACGGATTTTAAAACGATTGCGTTGTAATAAAATACTCCAAGCGACGACGAAGACGACGACGACGACGACGATGACTCGAGAAAATTTGAATTTTCTTTCTTTCAAATGACAATTTAGGATAATAAATAAATGTTGGATTATTTGATATTTGATTGATAACAATATTAAGCATCCTTTCTAAAAGAAATCAACGATGACAATAACGATAATAACTTAGCATTTTCCTTCCTTATGAATATGTATGAGTGGGCGTACGTGGAAGTAGAGATCCAATTAGATTGTAGATTTTATTTCGTCCTCGTTTCCTCATATTTTCAGTTATTACAATCATGAAAACATGTTGAACGAAAGAGATAGGGATTAGTTGAAGAATTGAAAATGGCACCCCAAGAGAGAGAGAGAGAGAGAGAGGAATGAACGTTAAAATGAAAAAAATGTATTCTGGGTGCGCCTGGCATTGTGCTGCCTGCCTGCCTGCCTGCCTACCTACCTGCATGCATGCATGAGAGTAGTAAGCAAGCAATACGTAGTACACCGTCGTCAAGTTGTCTTATTCGATTGAACAAATGCAAACAACAAGAAAGAAATAAACTAACAAGTGTGCAATCGAATCGAATGGAATCGAGAGTAGAATCGAGAGTACAATCGAATAGAATCGAATAGAATCGAAGAGAATCGAATCGAGTGGAATGGAATGAAACTGAACGGAATGGCAGGAGTGTTACAAAATATCAGCTTTCACCGCGCGTATCACCGGTACACGAAGGCAAACGTAGCAAAAGCACGTTTGCAGCGAAACAAGTTATTCGTCTCTCTCCTCGAATTCATCCGTTCGGAAAGAACTTCTCCAACTCTATCTTGGGTTAGTTGTCCTTTTCTAACAGTTCCTCTAAGCGTATAAATAACATTCGTTGATCGATTTATTCATTTTTAATGGCGTGACTTGGAAGATAACGATCATGACAGTACATTGCTTGACTGGTTCCACGCTAAAGGGTTAGTTAACTATTGCAGTTGACGATAATTCCCTAATCCTTTCTAACAAACGGCGAGAGAGAGAGAGAGAGAGATGACTACTTTTAGAATGGTCGTTCCAAAGCCACCTACGTTCACGTGGTGGTCCACGTGAGATCAAACGAGGAGACTGGAGAGCTCAATGCTACAGGATTGAAAGTTAACTTTTTCCCCCTTTCATTTCTTCTTCTTTCATTACTTCTCTACTATAACCTGTGTCTATTAAATTACGTTTCTTGACAAATGTTCCTTTGCATTTGTTGAACGTCCAAGAACTATTTGATTTTTCAAAATTGTCTAAAACTCAATTCCAAAAAGTTGCGAATTAAAGGAAACTCCGTATATATGTATGTATGCATGTATATATGTCGACGACGACGACGACGACGACGACGACGACGAGAAATGCGTTCACTCGCGTTTAAGGCTTGTTTTCTGCATAGCAGATACTGTAAGTAACGTGTTCGAAAGTTTTCGTCGAGAATAGTAGGAACACGTTCAACGACCGATCGTCAACTTTGATGTATCATAGGAAATAATAATAATCGTTGGTAACTATGATGATGCACGCTCGCCTACGCTGTCATTACTTTTTTCTTTCTTTTTTTTTATTTGGACTCACAATTAAACGGCGTTCACTTCCGAGAGATTCGATCATGCTTGAAAAATTGACGATCGCTTCCTTGTTCCTTTTAACCTTTATAATCGCGACATGTAACTAATGTAAGATTTATAAGCATATACTTTGCTTGGAGTTTTTAATCAAAGTTATCATTTTCTTTGCTTTTTCTTTGCTTTTTCTTTGCTTTTTCATTCGCTTTCACGCGCACGAACAAAACTATTACTAATTGTATAAGGAAATATTCTCTACGTTAGAGAGTTTCCTTCCGTCTCGAGTCGCTCCATTTCCATTTCTCTACTTAAACTTGATTCCTTATTTCGATAATGTTATAATATTACGACCGAGTAATAGAATTTGTAGCTTTGTTTTCGATTCGTTTTCGATTCGTTTTCAATTGGTGGCAAAAAGAAGGGATCTCGTTCTTAAGTAACTTTCACGCGAGCAACCCGGAGAAAAGTAGCGACCTTTCGATGAGCATTCACGGTGAATAGTTCAAGTGCAAAGTGGGACAAAGAGACGGACGAACGGACGGACGGACGGACGGACGACTTCGTTTTCTCGTCTTTTCCATTCAATTAAAACCTCTTCCCAAATACAATTTTATAAGTGAAAACAAGACCGAATATAAATTGGAAAAAAGAAGAAAAGAAAAAACCAAATGTAGTTTCCCTACATTTGTAGTGGTTGTTTTTGCTGGAGGAAGTGTAAGTCATCGAAACCGAGAGTTGTAGCTTATCCATTTGAAACCGCACGCTATAAGTTATCCGCATAAGTTATCCGCATAAGCTACGTATAAGCTACGTATCTCGCTCACTCTCTTTCAAGGAAAGTGTAACAACGGCCTGTTCGACAACGTTCAACAGAGAAATGAAAGTGGTAGAGCTTCGACTATGTCCCGATAAACCAAACTCGGTAAATTTGTAGTCGTCGACAACGTCCTTTTCATTTACTAAGAAATATCAAATAAACTCGTATTGAAGAAAACGCGTATCATAATTAACAATTATTTCAATCCTAGCCTATATATTGACCACAATTATGGTCAATAAAATGATTGATTTGACAATACTGAAGGTGGGAAATTTCCATGGAACGTATGGCGAAGACGTCGAAAGGAAGAGACAAATAAATAAATAAATACTCGAATGTGGAATCTTTAAAGCTGACGATAAAATATATAAACGACGGACATTTGCTGTATGAACTGTACTTAAACGTGATCGTGGCACTTTCACTGCAAATTCAAGCTATGGTGGTCGCCATTTGTTATTCGTTTTATTTAATCATAATAATATAAATATATCAACATGATTTGTGAAATTGGAAGGAAATATGTTACACCGAATGGCATTTGTTTCGAAGCAATAATTAATAAGGAATAAAATTAGAATTAATTTGGATCCGTCGTTACTCTTTTTTAAACGCGCTCGTCCAATATACATAATAGATTAAGAAGGAAAAGGTCAAGACACTTACGTCATTTATGTTTGGTCAGAACGAAGATGGTTCCAACGGTTGTATGATTTTTGACGGTCCTCATGTTTCCATTGTCACACTGGTTGAAATCTTCGACATCGTCGGCGATGACGACGACGACGATGACGACGACGATGAACGAAAACGAAAAACTTGCGCGTCGTATATATTTACACGCGCAGCACTCGCTCGTAATTAACAAAATCAAAATACAAAAATGACTAATTTCCTTTTATTTAATTTTTTCTTCTTTCAAAATTGTTTTTCCACTAAATATTGAAATTTCACTAAACACAAAAAAGAAACACAAATATGATCCAGTCGTAACTTGTGAAACAATTCCTGGCCGGTTGTTCAAAAGTAAGAACAACAAAAGGAAATGGAAATATTGAAAAAGTACCTAAGCAAAGATGATTTATCTAATTATCTTCTATTAGATACTTTAGTCCAATCCTATTTTCATATAGTTTTTCGTCGAAAGACCTATTAAAAAATACCTATTAGTTTTTTTTCTCTTTATCTTTTTAATTTGTTTTGAAATCGGGTGGAGAACACGCTCGCAAACTCGTCCTCTTGTAGTTACGCAAACCCGGACGACAGCCAGAAATAGAAAAAGTTTGATGCCTTTTAGACGTTTAAAAGGATTGAAGTCTTTATATGTACACCTTCTTATTACCGTCTCGTGGCAGATCATACGTGCTCATTAGAGGAGATTTTTTAACGAACGTTTCGCGATTTCCGACACAGAAATTTGAACAAAAAGTAGAGAAAGAAAGAAAACAAAACAAAAAAACAAATGTTATTAAGCGAGTTAATTACATCTTACAATTAGATCAAACAAGAAGTACAACGAACGCTCCTCCTTCCTGATAAAGCAACACGCGCCATGATTATAACTTGGAAAACATACGAAGATGTATACGCTCGCGAAGCATTCAAATCACCGAAACTCGAGAATAAACTCCTTCGTCGTTTCAATGTGTTTATAGATAAAATAATAAAAAAACAAACAAACAAACAAAGTAAATATATAATATTAAATGAAATAATATAAAAGAATGTAATATCAATCTCTTGTTGTCTCTTGTACACTCTTGTCTCTTGTTTAAAAAGATACCTTGTTTTAAATCAAAATTCCGAACTCGAACTGATCAAATTCACTAAAAATTCGGCAAAAGTCGAACAAAAAAAAAACTAATAATAATAATAATAAAACAAAATGAGAGAGAGAGAGGGGGGGATAAAAGAAAAGGAAAAAAAGGAATCGGCCTTAATTTGTTGAAATCTCGTTGAAATGTCGGTTAGAAAGAAGGTGGAGGAGGAGGAGGACGACAACGGCCGGATCGATTCTCGAACATATCTCTATCCGGCGGTCTCCGCGACACTGACTTGGACGTCGCGTTTGCGCTTAGGTTGCGCTTCGACGCCGACGTCGACGCTGACGCTAACGCCAGGGGATGGAAAATAAGGTGCGCGCGAAACAATATTCAAACGGAAGACACCAAAGCACAAACAAACACGAGGATATCAAATGTTCTACAATAATATTTCCATCATTTCTTCTATTAATTCAAACGTTAAATTATGTGTGATATCATTTATAGGTTGAAAAAATAGTTTAAAAAGAGTGTATTCGACTTTCTACAACTTTCCAAGATATTCCGGTTTGAATAGAAGACGTTTACGTTAACCCACTAACCCCTATATAATTTCATTCAAATTCACTCCTACCCTAAGCTGTTTTCTATACGAATTGTGCTTTTTGTTAATTTCGCCGTTTGTTGGTAACTTCATGAAAACGCAAGTCAAATTTGACTTATCTGATTTGGAATGTAGGCAAGGATGTACGAAATAGATGATTCGATTGATAAATCAAGAGTTAAGATTGACTGGAAGTGACTGACCTGGTCACGCAAAGTTTAGACATACTTCCGGTCGAACGGCATGCAATTTTATTCCCGCAATCGTTTCCTCTTAGAAAATCCGAGGTAATAAGAAGGAGTAGAAGAGAACAAAGATTATACCGTGCACCGACGCGTTGACATATAATAATAAACAATATTTAACTAATTGCTTAAAAATATCAAATCAAATGTATACAATAAAGTTAATTAAATAGAATTTCAAGAAGGACCTTAATAATTGACTAATTCGACAACGCTTACGTATCGTTAGATATATATAAAATCTATTAGACTTAAGTTACCGATTATTTCCAGTTTCCCGTTTACTACTTCTTACCTCTCCTCTCCCCCTATTAATCTTTTCATCTCGCTTTATACCAAGTTCTTTGCTCCTGTGTCTCTTGAGAGGGAAAGTATTTTATAGCACGGTTCGCTTAACAAGAGAAAGGGGACACGGTTCGCTCCTAATTTCTGTTTTAACTCGGTATACAACCTATATATGTACGTGTACCTTATTTAACTCTACCAAAAGTCCATTATGCACGCGTCATATTATTGCTCTATCTTTCATTTCTTACACGATAAACTATAACATTTATTAATGAACGATTCATTCTCTCTACTTATCGATTATTCAATAATCATTATTGTGATAACATTTGATAATTTGTTGTCTTTTTATAAATACTCGACGCATCGTACATAAACATTTCTATACTTTGACGTTAATTGCAAAAGTGAAAGTGCGCTTCGTTCTCGACGTTAGAGTGCACAGCTAAAGTCACGAATTAAAAAGAAATCCTGGCTCGTCTTCTATCTTTCTCTCTCTCTCTCTCCCTCTCTCTCTATACCCACCACTTTACGTAACTACTGATCTTGATATCCTTTTTGCTCTTTACTTAACATTACTTTAACTAATTCTCCGATCGATAAGTAATGGTAATAATAAAAAGATACGGATCAAAAACAATAATTGGACACTCGTCATTTGTTGTCAATTTCCTTTTTCATTTTTATCTCTTGAGAGCTCAAAAAGTGTCATACGGAAATAAATAATGAATTTATTACCATGACATCAGGGAAAGTACGGGAATAAATTCTTTTATAGGTAAAATGTGTTCACAGGCAAATCATCGTAGATGATTGAACTAATTCTAATAATAATAATAATAATAATTATTATTATTCGAATAATAGATTTGAGTTAGAATATCCGGGCGTTAACTGAACGATGATCGCGATCGCATCGATAAGAAATTTCGCTTGGAGTGTGGGCGGCGTCGAAGAATCTAGTGAAACTTATAAATAATTAATAGAACAACAATAGTATTTATGATTATTATGAAGTTAGTGGAAAAGAGGAAGGATCGGTAATTATTGTGTAACTATCCGGTTAGACGGCGGCGGACTGCTTAGAAAAGTATACCTTTCACGGAGAGTGCATAACGGAGACCGTGACGACTGCTCGCTCGTTCACTCGCTTACTCGCTTACTCGCTTACTGCATCGCTCCATGCATTGTCCAAAACCTTGGCCAATTTTAATCTCCAATTAGATCTCGTAATCCGGTTCATATAAATAACTGCTAAACCATATTCGCCTTGTTTCATTCTAATCCGCTTTTTAACTGTAATTAAGAGTGCATTACAAATATTTCCTTTATTTCTTTTTCTTTCTATTTGTTTAATAATAAGACAATTATTAAAAGATATACCACCTTGTCAAGCGGATTAGAAGGAGAATTATTTCTTGAAAATTGTCTTCTTTAACGCTGAATACAAAAATAAAATATCTCGTAATACAGAAAAAAACTGCACAAGCTCCCAAGATTCCCAATGAAGTCGAATCCTAAGGAAAACGATCGAAAGGTCACGCTCGCTCTCTCGTTCGCTTGCTAATACTTTTACTTCTCCTCGAACGTTCGCTTTTAACTTATACAATCACTATATTTCTCTATCTCTCGTTTACACATTTTCAATAGCCGCAAAGAAAAAAGTCCAATTTTGGATGATACACCATTGCTAATCTTTGTCCGCTGACAAATTATATTCGTTCTCACGTATTTATAGTAATTATGATTATTATGTAGAATTCAGTTGTAGATTTGTTTCTATAGAAAGTAGAAAGTTTTTCAGACTTTTGCGTAATATCCGATTCGAAGTAATTTGTACATTGAAGAATAAATAAAAAGAACAAAAAATAATAAATGAGATTTCGTTATTGAAACATTTGCTTTCACTCATTTCGAGATCTTGAAAATTAACACCGAAATAAAAAGGGACATTAAACATTTTAATATCATCCAAAATTGATATACATTTCAAAAAGAAATAAGGATTGACGATGGATGGTAATGAAGGTTTCTTCAATCTTCAATCTTCTCCTTATCTAGAAGTAGCTGTATTATTGGCTTTGAATATTTCATTACACGTCTTTTTGTTTTTTTATTATTTTCAATTGATATTGATAGTTAATGAATTAACAATTGTATAATAATAATAGTAATTAATTAATTAATAATATTAATAATAATAGCAATAGCAATAATAATAATAATAATAATAGCTGATACATACATATATATATAATACAATGAGGATATAATAATTAATAAGAAACTAATCGTTTTTTATCTGTGACAGCTGCCTCAATGCCCTATAAGTTCCTAGCAATCCTACAGAGTTGTTTTAAATTATTAGTAATATCATATATCTATAATATATTCTTTTTTTTTCTTTTTTCTTTTTTCTTTTTGTCATTTTCTCTTTTTTATCTGCAGTTTGTTACGTTTTCTTTTGTTATCTTTTGTTTTTTCTCATTACGAAGAAAGTCCAAGTATAAATAATTGTGCCACTTATTTGTTTTGTTATGTTGTGTTGTGTTGTGTTCATTTTCTCTATATATGTATATATACGTGTTGCACATATGACATCACTTTTCAAACGCTAAATTATATGTTCATTCCCTTTTTCTCTTCCCCTTTATTTATCGCTATTTTTACTTAACTTTTTTTTTTTTTTTTCAATTATTACTTCTAAGCTTGTTTTAAATTGACAAACCCTTATCTTGAAAGAAACAAAATTATTAAAAGCGAATGATTGTGCAATGTAATTTTCTATATGTATGTATGTATTTATGTATGTATATATGTATATATAATATATACACATATACAGCACTTTACAAGTGATAAATATGAAATCACCTTTTAACTCATTTATACGTAGAAATTAAATTCATTTTTTTACTTAAGGCTATATATACATATACATATATACATATATATGCATACATATATATGTTGTAACATGCAAAATCTATTTTAGAACATTTACGAAGAAGATATTATTTTAATAATCAACATCGATTCCTCTATGGCAAATAGCCTACGTCTAAAATGATAAAGAAACTACAACTGTTTTTTTTTTTTTCCTTTTTTTTTCTTTTTTTCTTTCTATTGCGTATATGCGTGGCATGCATCCTAAACATTTTTAATTACGTGATGCAGATAAGTACTGGTTTTTGTGTTGTTGCAATATATGTAATATGTATTCAATGAAATGAAATTCCTTTCAATTATGGACGTTTTAGCATGTTTTGTTAGAAAAAGAAAAAAAAATTGGAAAAATATTATCTCAAAGAAAAAGCAAATGACATGAAATAAAATAGAGCAACCAGTGAAATTTGTTTGTAATAAAAATTCACTGATAAACTTTGTCTGTAATTAAGAATAGAAAAAATGCGATTATATAATTAATATTATATGATTATTAGTTTTAGTTTTTATGATAATAAGCTGGCGAGTTCGTTTGTTTACCGTATAAAGTTGTTTTTCTGGATAATCATTAAGTGAATTGACTCTAGCATTGTCATAGATGTTTCGTGATGATGATGATGATGATGATGATGTTGCTTGTATCTTCTGTTAAAAAGTTTGTAGAGGCCAATGAAATAGTTGTCGGACTATGCCATGGCTATGCCATGCATCAATATTAATTCCTTGATATCAAGGCCAAGTCGTAAGTTAGCTGGCGTGTTACCAATCACAAAATGATCTTCGGTTAAAGGTAAAGCGTCTTTCAGTAAGTGCCTAGAAAGAAACAAATAAATAAAAAGAAAAGAAAGAAAGAAAGAAAGAAAGAAAGAAAGAAAGAAAGAAAGAAGAAAAAACAAAAGAATATATAAAAGAATCTATAAATATAACACAAGGTGTTTATTATATATGAAAATTAGATTGAAATGTAGAATGTAGTGAAAAAAAAAAGAAAATATTTCATATTCCTACCATATGTTTTTATCAGAGACAACATGAACTTTTGGTATTGGGAATCCGTTAAAAGGCGAAGCAACAGGTAAAGTATATGCACCCATATTTTCAAAAATAATCCAATCATTAATATCCATTTCATGGAGTAGAATATTTTCAACGACTTTGTCTAAACCGTCACAGGTTGGTCCCCAAATACTTGAGGGAATCAATTTTCCGCAACCATTCTGTTGATGGTGAAATAATGATCATTAATGAAATATTGTTGTTTGATCTTTTTATTATATTTAATTATTGTGTTAAAATAAATATGATTGTTACTACCTTGAGGGGAAGAGGTGTTACGCGTTGATGATCATATAATAAACAATTGAAAGAGCCATAAACGCCATCATTGATATAATACATATTTTCCGTGATCATATTTGGAAAATTTTTATCACCATGTACCGGGCGCTTGCTGTGAATACTTGTGGCAAGAGTAAATGCAGATGCTACGTAGAATCTACCAGGTTCAGCAATTACGTGTACAGCATCGGCTAAACATTTGATCAATTTTCAAATGTTAAATATACATACATAATATATTTGATGCTTTTATTTTTTTTTTTATTATTAGTGTGTTTGTTTAATTATTACTTACTGTTAAAATATTCTTCGAGAGCTTTATTGACAGTATCGGCAATCTTGTCAATGCTAGTTCCTTTATCTCCTGGATAACCACCACCGATATCTAACAGATACATATTAAATCCAATATCAGATGCCAGATCAAATAATAATCTTGCATGATGAATAGCTCGATGATAAACAGGAGGATCTTGACATCCTGATCCAACGTGAAAGCTTATACCAATTACATCCAAGTTTAATATTCTTGCAAGCTGTAAAAGATTAGGAGCTTCATGGGTCGGATCGCAGCCAAACTTCATACCAAGTTGGCATTGAGCTACATCTGCGTCGCACCGAATTCGAATAACAACCTGAATTCAAATAATTCAACGATATTTCATTTATTCATTAGAATAATCATTCAATAGAGAATTAGTTTAATTTACCTTGGCCGTTGGGAAGAATCGTTTAATTTTATGCAATTCACTTTCGTTATCTACTGTCATTGTATCTACTCCCACAGCAGCAGCATGACGAATGTGGGAAGCAGGTTTAGCTGGATTAGCAAATATAATTCTAGATGGATCAACTCCGATGCTTAACACCTTATTAATTTCATTCTAAATGGACAAAACAATAATAATGTATAACAGTTGAATCCTTTTAATACACAACAGCGTTATATTACACAATATTTGATAGAAATAATAATATGGTATATATACTTTAGAAGCGCAGTCAAATCCAATTCCAAGGGCAGCCAGGACTTCGATAACGATTAAAAGATCGTTACACTTGACAGCTACAATTGCATATAATTATTTAGGGATTATTATTATATATATTATCATGAAGGATATATTATAATAATATATATCCTTCCTAATCAATCATTATTTACCATAATATGGATCGACACGTGGCATTTTCTCTTTCCAAATTTGATGTTTTCTCACAATATCACCAATGTCAAGTACATAGAAGGGTTCTTCTTGTAATCCGCTCATGGCAATATCTTTGATGACCGTCATGACATTAGAGTCATGGTCCAACACATGGATACGTTCATCGGACTTTGATACCTTCATATTGAATGCTTTATTTATTGTTATTTTTTGTTCAAAGACTTAAACGTTACTCTGCAGGGGCTAGGCAGCAAACTAAAACAACATGAAACCAAATGAAATAATAATAATAATAATAATGATAATATACAAATTGTGCAATTGTGCATTTAAATGAAGACAAAATAATAGTAGTACGTACGAGGCAGCTGTCAATAAGAATTGGTAGAGTCGTGAGGAGGCGGGTTAAGACAAAATCACTGTGGGGGTGCTAGCAAAGCCACGGGGGCTCTGCGTTCAGGGCCAACTTCCAATTGCCGCTGGTTGTTATACGCCCAACGGTAGACTGGCTTACCAGCCTATCGCAGAGAGAACCCTGTGAGAACACAAGTATATGATGGATGATGTATATCAATTGATTTCAACTGCTGCGCATTATTTCACACATAAAACTTTGCTTTTATCAACAAAGAAACGCATCTGTAGTAATAACATTGAAGAAAAAGAACCAAGACGACAAATTATCATCAGACAAAAATATTTTATCTTATCGCACATGTTAGATAATTATTGAGATATACCCTCCCTCCTATCAAATGAATAACTTGCTGAAATGATATACACGCAAAAATCCATCTTTAAGAAATAATAATAATAATAATTACAATGATAAATGGATCTTCGAACTTTTTCTTCATTATATCCTACCTACCTGAGTGTGGAGCGTAATTCTCGTGCTTGGTATATCACACATGCAATAAACAACTTCACAACACGTTAATCGCGCCTTTTCTAGATTTATTTCTAGATTTATTTCTTATTAACTCAGGATATATTTTATTAATACAATAGGATAATTGATGAAACTAAGTGATACAAGAAAGCTAGAAAAAGTTAGGTTAAGTGATATATAGATATACACAGACGAAATAATTCTTGTAAGTAAAGTGGTGAAAGTTTGAAAGAATACTAAATCAGAAGCTACTCTTTGGACCACTATTTATATGGGTAAGATAAGTATTATCAGGCAGTCTCCGTATGCTTCAGAGATTACTTTATGTTTAATGAATCTTATCTGACAGCTAAGAGGGGTACATGGTCCATAGAACTTTGATCAAATGGGGGGACGAGGAGGAGGAGGAGGAGGAGGAGGAGTCGGGAGGTAGGCAGGCAGGCAGGCAGGAAGGAGTAGCGTGATATGCACACGTCACTCAAAAATAGAATCCATGGGGGGTAGGGAAATATTGTTACATGTAATATAATATATTATATTTGTCTATTTGTCTATTATCAATATCACTTAAACTGATTAAGATAGCTGTAAAAGTACTATTTTATTACTTTCAAGATAGATTTCATCGGAATAGATAAAAAAAAAAAAAGAGAAATATATGAGCGACATTACATATCTCTTCACGTATTAGATATTAATATAATAAAAGAAAATATTCAATTTTCATGATATTCGCATATACATTCATTGATGCATGAGCAAGGCAATTATTATTATTATTATTATTATGCTTAAATAGAAAAAAAGTCTTCTTTTCTTAGGAATCGTCTAACTGATGCAATAATAATGATTTTGCTAGTTTGAAGAGGAAATACCGGACTAAATGAGATATCACTAGATGAAGAAAAGTCAAAGATATATACACAGCTGTTCCACAAATGTCATCTTATCAAGATGTAAATATATAAAACTTTAATCATCGAACAGATATGTAAAGTTTGAAGAGTAGCAAGAAAAAGTAGCATTGCGCGAGCGATACGTTGTAAGATGAAACATACTTCTTGTCGTCAAGACAAGAAAATATCATAACATTTACTCTATCCTAAAATCCAACAAATTCGCTGTTTTAAATATTACAATAATATTACAATAATATTACAAATAATTCAACATTTCAACAATCTAGAAATATGAAAATATTCCAAGTATTTAGTCAATTTATAAACATTCCTAATTTTAAATGAATCATCCTTGCACCTCGTTTAGTATTTTTCAACAAAAATCATTTTCTTAAAAGGAAATAGGAATTCTTGGAAATAGAAAAATGAAAAAATATATCATATCATGTGAATCATCCTGTTAGCCTCTTAGCACGTTACGCCTTCGATGTAACAACGCGATCCGTCCGTATGGGATCAAAAAGAAGAAGAGGAAGAAGAAGGAAATAGATAATAATGAAATTACCTTATCGAAAGATCGCCACCCAGCGGGTCGGCACTCGGTTATTGACGGAATGATGGAAGTTTTCGGTGACTGGATCCCAAAAATCAGTCAAATCGTTCGAAAAATATGAAAAGTTGGTTCGCTCGGTGACCAGTGCTTACTATATTCAATCGCGAACGATTTCTTCGACAAAATATTCGAACAAAACATTCGTTTAAACCTTCGTAACAGCTTATACGGCACGAACGAACATTCTAACTTCGATACCGGATATTATAATAACTTCTTTTATATCATCAAATAACGAAAGCATATACCGAATCGCGAAATATCATCCAACCGAAACGTGCACCACCATCAAGAATTCACAGAAAGGGCTGCTAAAGACATCCTGTAATAATATTATCGATTAATCGTACGTTCGAGATTTCGATTTCGATATTTCTTTAACTATGCAAACCTTTTTTCTACCGTTAACCAATCAGCCTCCAGTATTATCGTGAAATGTTTCGAGACAACAAATAGGATTGCTTCATACTTAATCGATACTGCATATTTCGATATATTTCGATATATTTCGCTATATTTCGATACGATAATCCCGTTGGCAAATGGCATTTTGTCAACATTTTCATGACGATCTTATGATCTTAATGAGTTTAACACTTTACATATTTATTCTAGAAAAATATTCTACGTATATTATACACGGAAAGAAAACTTTTGCATAAATTACATATATACTCTGGAATGAAATACATTTTTTTATCCACTTTTGTAACACCTTGAAATATTTATATATTTATATTTATAAACAATATGTGTTACAAGCTCCATGTTTAATCTGCCTTTACAGGTGGTGAGAAATATCTTGTGACTATCCTTACTATCATCGCAGCACTGCAAGGCCAACAAAAAATATAATGTACTTTTGATATTTTTTAATGTACATTGTGTATATAGAAAATAGATAATAGTATATATATATATATATATATACCTACCTCATGATCGTTATCACTCCAGCTGGCATAATTTTTCCAGTATTATAAAACCGATAACCCATCAAACCTCCAAGCGCAGTAGTTGTTCCTAATAAGACTCCAACGTTGGCTGGATCTTGAGACGTTTGATAAGCTCCATAACCAAGAACGGATCCAAAGACTAATCCCGCAGCAAGAGATGGAATAGAATCTATACAAAGTAGTATATTCTTTTTAATCATTTGCTAGGATACTATTTTATTACCATAGAGCTATCCTAATGTCATTATTAATAAACCGTCGTAATATCAAGTTGATCAAATATTATTATAAAATAATAATAATAAACTTACGTGATTTTACGTAACCTAAAATGCCGCCGCCAGCAACAGCTGCAGCATAAGCAAATGCAGGAAGATCAATTGGCATTTTTGTTTTCTTTTGTTTTCTTTTGTTTACTCTAAAAATAGTTCTACTCGAATGATTATGCCAAATTGAAGATTAATGATAATCAATACAGTCTCTTTCTCTTATCACAGTTCCAACGTCATAGCTTAACTAATTTATAGAGTCGACATTTTATTTACAAATGAGTGCCGCAAATGTTTTCCATTTTGAATTTTTTTTTTTTTTTTTTCTTTTTTTTTTTCATAGGAACGAGAACACATTATATGGTTGAGAAGCGAGAACAATAACAGTTTTTTCAACAAACTGATTTATGAAATTTAATCTGAATTTTTCTCATTGACCAATCAGATTCTGCACATTGAAAATCCCGCGAAATTTGAATTTTTCTATAAACTTGATATAAATTTGCAATATTAGTTTATGAAAAGTTTTTTTTTTATTAACTATTAAACATATTCATTATAACGATAATTATGAATATAATTAACGTGTAATAATGAAATGTGTCATGCTCCAAATTTAGAATTAAATTCTAAGCAATTATTGTTCATGGTCAACTATTTGTAATTATTTGTAATTATTCTTATTATTGTTATCATATTTGAAATAAGCTTGTTATTTAGATTTGTTAACTATCTCGGGGATTAAAACACTTTGAGTAATATATAAGAGTTAATATCTGCTACTGTTATCAGTCAATGCATCATATTTACCGTAGATCATAGATAATACGTAAAATACGACATAAGAGATTTAAATAACTGAGTGTGTGTCATGTGACACAATTGAATAGTCATTCTACAATCGAGAAATTGTAAAAACCATTTTGTTGTTTGATAAATGGTTGGATAATACTAGTTCTTCGTTGTAGAGCAGATTTTCTTTATCTACCGAGTGTCGTAATTATTAACATCATATTTTGTAATAGCACGCAATAGTGGAGTGTATCGTTTTTATTCTCTTTATTTAATCGATTAAAATGTCACGCAATTTATTAATTAATACTGGTAATATACTTTCTTTAGATGAGGCTAAAAAGAAGGCTAGTCAGAATACAAGAGACGAGGTTAGTTGATAATTAATACTTGACACAAGTTTTCAATCTACCACAAGCAAGCATACACACACACGCATATATATATTCTAAAGATTTTTCTAAAGTTTTTCTGAAATGATCGTTGCACATTTTTCAATGTTGTTGTCAATGTTGTTGTCATTTACACGTTTGCCATTAATTTATATGAAATAATAATATGAATATTTGCAGTTAGTCGATACGCTGAAGATTATTTTGAGAGAAGAAAAGAATCAAGGGGACAACATTGTATTTGTATGTACAAGATGATCTTTGCTTTTTAATATTCTTATTATTTTTTATATTTACCTTTAAAGAAGGAACATTAAAATGTATCTATTGAAATTGTATACATAGATGAACGGTATAGGAGATACTGGTATTGAAAATACAGAGAGAGCCGAATTGAAAGTAACCGTCAAGGTTTTTGTTTCATCTCCTGAAGCTGAATCATTGAAAGATGCATTAGACAAGGGTATGTAAATATTGTATATTTATTATATATACATATATGTGAAGTGTTTCAATATGCAAGTATTATTAAATGAAAACTTGTAGTCTTTGAACATTTGAACACGGATACGATTGAATCCTTGGTGATTGCTTATACCACTAAACACGATTCTGAAGATATATTAATGTCTTTAAAATCTTTATGGAGAGCTGTCGAAGAATATGTGAAAGTTGGAAAATTATCTAGCGTAGGACTAAGCGACTTAAGTACTAATACGTTTATTGAACTCTTTCAATGGGCGAATGTAAGTTTCATCTCATACTATCATTAATTTGTATGCATTATCATAATCTTATATTCAAATATAATTCTATATAGGTTAAACCTGCTATCGTACAAATTAATTTAGCTACATGTTGCGTCGTTCCACCAGCCTTACAAGAATTTTCTAAAGCGAACGATGTACAACTATTAACGCACAGTGATCCATCAGGTAAATATTATTAATTATATTATGTAATTAATACATTTTCATTATGTCCATTTTTCTTTCATCTATAATATAATCTTATTATCTGAATTTGTAGAAATTTTACCGGAGGATAAGTTGAAGGAGATATTTGGTTCGCCAGTGTCATTACACTGGGTCGTTAAATATCAAATACATCTTAAATGTCGAGGTATATTAACTTCTAAAGGATATCTAATTTACATTAAAAAATTATTTACGCGTAACTAATAATTAATCATTTATAAACAATTATTTAGAAAATTCTTTAGAAAATTATTTAGCTTATGTTACATTATTTCATATATATATATAGAGATATTTTAATATTCCCGCATTCAATTATGTTTAATTGAATGATACTTTACGAGTGTAACTTACTAACGTTTAAAAAATAGACGTAGAACAACTAATCATTTTTGAAATATTGTATATATATATATGATGCATTTTTAGCATTTATGCTTCTTCCACCAATTGCACCACAAGTTCTACTTATAGAATGTAAATTTTGTATTTACATTAAATTGTCTTTTTATATTAAAGTGACAATTAAGCAAATTTCGTAAACACATAAAACATAAATTAACAGTATACGTGGATATTAAAATAAAAATTAGAAAAAACTTGCAAATGAATTAACAAATGTTTCGAAAATCTTTAAAACAAATATATTATTTACATCTATTCAATAAGTATATACCTTTAGAAAAAGGAATCCTACAAATACAAGAAGAATCTCAAAGAAAATCCCATCATTATTGTAGATAGACGTCGTTCACAATATATGCAACACAAGTTTTCGTTTTGTCAGCAGCCACGTTGCTGTAGCAGCAGCTACCTTAGCATCTCTCCCTTTCCCTACGTTGCTGTGTATCTTTCTGCTGCTGTTGGTCCTCCCTTTCCTACATTGCTATACCTTTTCTGCCGTTAGGCTCTCCCTTTTGCGTTAAGCCGCACCGCGTGGCAGTGGACATAAGAGGGATGGGGAAGGTCGAAGAGAGGGAATGGGATCGTAAGGGAGTGGATATAACGTAAATGTTCTTCTTGTCCTTTTCTTCCCTTCCATATACGCACTTACTGTCCCTTTCCAGTGTTCGTCATTCTACTATTTCTCTGTCTTTCTTACTCTTTCTCACTCTTTCTCAATCTCCTCCACCTCCTCCTCCTCTTTCCTCCTCCTCCTCTTTCCTCCTCCTCTTTCTTCTTCTTTTTCTTCTTCTTCTTCTTCTTCTTCTCTTATTCGTTCGTTCGTTCGTTCGTTCGTTCGTTCTGTGTAAAGAGTAGCCGCTGTGTTAGCTCCTTCCTCCTTTAGTCGAGAGAGAGAGTATGCGAACCTTAGCAATACTATGTTATGCCTGTGGAGCTTGGCTCTGACATACTTTGTATGTTAATGCCACATAATGTCGGTTTTGTTCCTCTTTTCAGCATTTATTTGTTTCGGCTTCCCTTCTGACTTTAGCTTTTTTCCTTTTTTTATTTTGTACTTTCCGTTTGATCATGCTTATATTCTATATCTTAGTAATACAAATTTCTTTTCTTTTTGAAGTGAAAATTTCTTTAAAAAGGGTGTCATTTGAAAAACCTTTCATCGACAAACACATCCTACGATTTTTGTCTTTATCTATGGCTATCGCATTCGGCATTCTATTTTCATTGTTCAAATTTGAATAGTCGTAGTTTTTGTCAGCTACCCCAATCAACAAAAATGTTTTGACTATCAACTTCTTCTTCATCCACGAGAATCATCTGTTACTTTGTTACTTTTTGTGGTTTCAATGGTCAGGATGATAAAAAGATTGCTGGAAGAATTGATCGAACGATTGGAATTAATCAAGTTGTATACTTTGAGGAGATTGATTGGTAAATTGATTGGTCAATCAAATTAATGCACTCTACTTGCATTACAGTCTAATTTTATCCTCGAAGTCATCATCTTCGAATCATAAATATAAAAGAGATATCACCATCACCACATCTCGTCCTTATCAGTTGTTTTACTGTTCTATACTATATCCAGTAAGGTAGCATTGGTTTTGGTGTTAGTATTAGTAACAGTGGTTGTGTGGTAGCTGCTGCATGCCGCATGTAATATAGACCTGCTGGTACTTGCTGCGATCCGGCGTTGACAGGTGATGCAGTCGCGGAATTGCCCTTCGCCATCGACCGCATCTTACGGATGTGCTCGCGAGCAAAGTACCTTCTATCCGTTGAGATGTCTCTCCCTACCACAATAAAAGAAAATAAGACAACGGACGGAGAAAGAAAGAAGGACAAAAGACGCGTATATGTAAAAGTAAAAACGAGAGAGAAGAAATCGAAAGAGTAAACAGAGCAAGGATCGAAGTAGCTTCTGCATCAGCAGCAGCAGCAGCAGCAACAGCAACAGCAGCAGCAACAGCAACAGTGCACTGGGAGAGTGCACAAGTATAGGTACGCAAAAGCTCTCTTCTCGTAGGGTCCAGAGCGATGCAAAGACGGGGTATAAATAAGCGGCTGTCGTTTGCGGAAGCAGAAAACAGCCAAAAGAAGAAGGAGAAGAAGGGGAAGAAGAAGAAGAAGAAGAAGAAGAAGAAGAAGAAAGGAATAAATAAGTTTAGGGTGGAGCGACAGAGAGAGGAATGGTAAAGTGGGGAGAAAATATACATGTGTGTATATGTATATATATATGTAAGCAATATATAGAATCAAAAGGGAACTCTTTTACCTACCTTCCCTCTTCGATCTACTAACTTTTGCGGTATACGAGAGAGTCACGGCATTAAAAACTTTCCGCTGTCTCTTCTGGATACGGCAGGTGTACCACCTCTCTTCCTCGTTATCCTGGGAGACTTCAGCGAAGAGGAAGTCGACACCTTACAACATTTCTCTTTTCCTCTCTTTGGGATAAGTTCTTCTGTTTACTACAAAGAAAAGAAAATTAATATTGTTTATTCAGTCGTTTTTGTGATTTTTTACTCTAAAATTAAGGTGGCAATTTAAAACCGACACATAATCCATCAGAATAAAAAATAAAAAAAAAATAGATTATAAAAAAACTGTAAGCTAAACGATCTCCCTAACTAAATACAAGTTCTTTCGCTCTCTCTCTCTCTCTCTCTTTTTACAACTAATCTCGATATTGGTTGTTTCTTATCTTCGTCTGGATCTGGATCCTATTGATGCTAAATCGCGTATATTTGCATACACGCATCTGAAGAAAATAAAATAAAAGAGGAGAAGAGATTTTTCGGTGCGTGGATATCGGAGCTACTCGTACGTATTCACATAAGGTGTATGTTATAGGGTGTTGAAGTTGGTGGTGGTAAAGGGGCTAAGGGAGGGCTATAGGGGGGCTATAGGGGGGGCTATAGAGGGAGGGATTTCAGAGGGCGACGTTATACACTCTTGAGCCGCGCCGCGCACCTATGTGTCTCCTTCCTTTTCTTCAAAGTGGGAGAGAAAGAGAAACAAAGAGATAGGTAGAACAGAGCGGAACCGAATGAAACAGAAGCAAAGCGAGAGAGAAAGAGAGGGAGCCGCGGCCTGAGCCTTTTCTCTCAGCAGCAGCAGCGCAGCAGCAGCAGCAGCAACAGCAGCACGGGCGCAGCATGTTTATTGGCGCATCTCGCAGTCTTAAATCTTTATGTTGTCTCCGCGAAGAACGGCGGTCCTCCTCTACACCCCTTATACTCTCTCTTCTTCTCCTCCTCCTCCTCTTCCTCCTTTTCCTCTCTATGTCTCCCCTGATCGCACACGTTTTCTTTCGAGGAAGAGACAACACGGATGGTAAGCTGGAGTAGTTGGTGCGGTTCTATGGAATGGAAAAGGACCAACAGAAAGAAACAGAGAGAAACAGAGAGAAACAGAGAGAATCGGTAGAAGCTACGTGCAAAAGGGGAGAAGAAGAAGAGGAAGAAGAGGGAGGATTATGGGAGCGAACGAGATAGATGGATAATGGTAGATATCTGAGAGAGGGAGAGAGAGAGAGAGGAGAACTGGGAGACAGGGAGATATATCTCTCGGAGAGACCGTGGTCTCGCGAAATCGAGTCAAGAACTCGGACGACCAAGGCGCGTCCACCGCATTACGCACGCAGAAGCCGCGATTTTAACGTGCCTTTTATCTAGACATCCTCTCCTCCTCATTCCCCATCGAGCGCTCCTCTTTTACCCTCTCTTCGTTTCTCGCAACCGCCGATCGACCGAGGAAGTAATGTATATGTGCGAGCGAGAGCTGCTTCAACTTCTTTCTTTTCTTTTCTTTTCTTTTCTTTATTTTTTTCATCAGTATAGAGGCAACTGATCGTATCGAAGATAATCTTATTTTACAATTAGTTTCATTTATTTTGTTCAGTTGTTTATTCAGAAAAATCTTATTTTTGGGTTTCTCTTTTGTCAAATGTTATTATCCTTGCTTGGGTTTCTATAATTATCGATATATACAAGATACGCGTGTTCCACTTGAAACGATGCATTCGAGTATTTCCAAATTTATCGCTTTTCTAAAGAAATATTAGAAATAAAAGTTGCTATGCCACTAAGGGGGAAATACGAAATGTAATATAGATCTTTTATATAAGAGATAAATGAGAAATGGCGAGTACACGAGCGCGCTGTTTAATTAACTAAATGTAGCATGGTCCGATAAACGGCACGTATCGGCAATAAACTTAACGTTGGGAGAGCTACGTTACTGATAACGTTCTTCTCTATCGTTCCTGTTTCCTTTAGCTTGGCTCTTATGCCAGTAGCAGAACGTTAGAACGTGGCTTTACGCCCACATTCTCGCCTCTACCGAGAAAGGACATACATATATCTCGTAATGTGATCACATACGAGGGCATACAACCGTGACCACGCGCCTTCTTTCTGTGTGCTCGCGAGTCTAACAATAAGAGAAAGAGGATGACGTTGAAGAAGGATGCAACATGTTTCTAATATTTTAAAGGACAAAAATTCTATGTTTCTATATGTTTTTTCGGACATCATTTGAATGGCATCGAGTTAGGGGGTTGATTTATTTGAAATATAATCGGCATTTTTACACTTAGTATATAATATATCTAGGAATATATTTTGTTAAATCCATATATGTATTATAAATAGTAATGTACACACCGGGGTGAGAACAATATTTTTTATCGAATTACACACACAAAAGAAAAAAGATAAAAGAGACGTGCGCCAGTAAAATGCCGAAGGGTTTATTTATCGGCACGAGGCTTAGCCATAGGTTTGGCCGCGTGCCGTAGGTTCCTTTAAGCTAAGAAAGGAAGGCGAAACTACTTTTCTGTGTAGGACCTTCTCTATCAAGAAGGACCGGCCATCCTCGATCGATCGACCGACCGACCGACCGACCAACCGACCGACCGACCGACCAACCGACCGACCAACCGACCAACCGACCGACCGACGCTACGTTACATTCCAACAGATCGCCAGATCCTTCTTCCAGAGATCCCTAGCGATCTTCTTTTAAAAGCCGAACAGAGAGAGAGAGAGAGAGAGAGAGAGAGAGAGAGAGAGAGAACGAAACGAGGCTTAAGGGCTCTTATTCACGCGCCGCGGGAGCTCGCATAAAACTGCTCCCTGAGTTTGGTTAGAGGTCAGAGATCATCTTACTTTCTTGACCGATAAGGATCTTCCAAACGCGCGAATCTCTCACGTCGATGACGATATTTCACTTAGGTTTGCGTCAAACTCCAATAGCCGCACGCGATATATATTTTTTGTCTTTCATTTATTATATTTTTTTCTAATCTTATTCATTTGACAAAGAATCAATTCTTTCTTCTGTAAAGATTCGAAGAGCGTGATATACCATCTAATGTAAGTAAGTTCCACTCGAAAACGGAAACGCGGGAGCGGGAGCGGGACGGACGTTTTCGAGGTAGGTACACGTTCATTTCGAAAGACGATAATTAGCAGCCTTTTACGGTACACGGCCAAACCCAGTACACACTCTTTACTCTTTATTTTTTATTCGTTCTTTCTCTCCTTGCTAAGGAAATTTCGCAATACTTTTAGGCCAAATATCCCCACCACCTTTACTTCTCCTGTCCTCTTTCCATACACATCCCATCACCCTCTACTACCTTCTATTAAAAGCGTTGCGAAAAAGTGAAATGTATTGTACCATTGCGTTTCCATTGTTGTTTTACGGGAAGGCATAAAACGGGGCAAGGTTGAATTTGTGATATCCTTCGAAAGATCCTTATACAAATTAATTGTGAATCTTTGAATTGTGCAATCTAAGTATAGGTATATGTCGAGGGTAGATTAAAAGCCCATCTACCTTGGACGATTATTCACCACTTGCCATAGTCTAGGAATTTTATATATTGTCGTTGTCATTAATGCGTTAATAACTTGCGGGGTGAGAGACTAGATATCAAACATCTCATTACGAAAGAATAAAGTACAAGTCACGTATTTCATTCTTTTCAGCTCGGTAAGTTGACCTCCTTACGCTAACGGCATCGCGAAAAGTACATAGACCATAGATACCATAGTGCCATGGTGCCATATACTATATATACACTATAGCATAAACAAAATCGGAAAGGAAGGAAGGAAGGAAGGAAGGAAGGAAGGAAGGAAGGAAGGAAGGAAGGAAGATTTGAAAGGATAGAAAAGAAGAATCGAGGAACGGAGCAAAGTAAGCGAAGTAACCCAGGCAACCCAAGGAAAGCAGCAAGCAGCAAGCAACCAGTCATGAGGCCCCTTTTACCTTTACGTATAGTCCTCCGCGTGGCTTTCTTCGCATCGCCGCTCTAGATCTTCGGATAAGAGGGAACACCATTTTAGCGGTTCCTTACACACCAGACATCCGTTCCATTCCCTACACCGAAGCAGCACAAACTCCTTCTTTGCTAACTCCTTCTTTCTTTGGGTAACTTCAGAGCGATCTAGGTAGAGAGATAGATATATAGGTATATGTACAACACAAGATGATAGGGGAAGAAAAAAAGAGATTGCTTGGCAGAAACTAGATGTCGTCTATGCGGATTTCCAATCATAACACTTAATAATGTATGTGAAAAATATCAACTACATAATATAATACTGTATAACCATTTTTTCTTAATAATCATGTATTATTACAGAAAGCAAGAAAATTATGAAAAGTTGTTTTTTAAATATTATATTGGAATAAATTACGATAATGAGACGCGATGAAAAAAAGTAACATAAGTTTATATTTTACATTCATTAGAGGACGTGTCTAATGGGAGAAGATGAAATTGAAAATGCATGAGAGGCGAGTGGAAGATGATCATGATCTTACGTTGCTTGTAATTCGAAAGATTATAATCCCACGTATCGGTACCTAATTTGTTGCGTGAGAACGAAGGAAGCAGAAAATAGGGTACCGTTTTGCGTGATAACGAGCGACGAGGGTCTTACCACTTCTCTCTCTCTCTCTCTCTCTCTCTCTCTCTCTCTTTCTTTCTTTTTCTAATCTCGCTGAGATCTTGAAAAAGACATTGTATGTACGTATGTATTCATCTACGCATGTAGATGTAAATCTTTATGCACTTATCTCTAGGGTCACGTTTAATTATTCTAATCATTAATTGATGGAATGATTCTTTTGTTTTTAATGCGTTTTATATTTCGACGTACCGACCTGCTACCTAAATGCAATAATTAATTCGATAACACGTTTTTATGAATATGACTCTTTAGATTAAAGCTATATATTGAACTACGATATATATCTGTAACGAGATATGTATATATATATAAGTTTGTCTTGATCTTTTAGAAAACGACACATCCTACTACTTGCGACCGCGACCGAGAACGGAAAGGAACGGAAGGGAACGAAACGGAGCAGGAGGCCGGAGCACACGGAGAGTCTTAGGCCATGCCATGCCATGCCATGCCATGCCATGCCATGCCAGGCCAGGCCAGGCCAGGCCAGGCCAGGCCGAGCCAAGCCAAGCCAAGCCAAGCCAAGCAAAGCCAAGCCAAGCTAGGCTCCAAGTCAACTCAGGTAAAAGAGCTCTAGAAGAAGGGGTTAAGAAACTCTCCAACTAAAGTGTCTACACCGGAAGCAGGGGCCTTGCTTTCTGGGCTAATAACCCTACCCACATCGACACGCGTACTAGACGCTCGCACTAGACGCACTACGACGACAGAGAGGACCTATCTATCCTTCCTTTCATTCGCCAAATTTTTAACTATATACGTAGGCATATAATCCGTAATAATATGTATTTACGTGTCTATATAAAATAAGCTACCTTGGAACTTTTACAATCTCACAGTCCCTAAAGAATTTCTCTGTATAACCACAATTGTAACTTTGTCAACGATTTAGGATCGATAAAAGAGAATCGATTATAAAATTATAAATGACAGTGTAAAAATGATTGCACAAAGTAGACCGTGCAGTTATGCTCCGTAAAAAAGATGGCTCTACTATCCCCTTTGAACTTTCGCGAGTGCGTTCGCTATCGACGACGGTCACACGTTGTAAACTACTCGAGTCACAGGTGAGAGATTTAAGAGTCTTTGCTGACTTTTCTTCAGACGTTATCTTGACTGAAAAGAACGTCCAAGCAACCAACGCGCGTATAACCCAACGTTATATACACGCTATATACACGCTATATACACGCTATATACACGCTATATACACGCTATATACACGCGTCGTTTCAAAATAGAAACTTACATTTACGAATTTGAGAATGTCCATATCATTTCTTACACTCTCTAGAATTACGTACATTATAACATTGATTCGTCAAGTAAGATACTGAAATGAAAAATACAAACGATAAAATGAACATTTGTAATGATAGATTAATTAAAAAAAAAAGGGGGGTTTTGATCGATCTTGAATGAGTAATGAGTGACGAGTTAAATAAGTGAAAAAACTTCTAGCACAGGTGTTTCCTTCTTGGTAAGCACTTTATACACATACTTTATTGTACGTATGGAACAACGTTAATGCGATGGAGATTAACTTACGCGAGATTCCCATGAACTATTTTTGAGCTTAATCGTTGCGCTGATCTGCGCGCCTTCTCCTACCTATATATACGTACATTATGTACATATATACTCGGTGAGGAGGAGGAGGWGGAGGAGGTGGTTTGCTTGTAACAGATAATTACTCGTAAGAAGGGGATAGACGTTCCTGGATCGCTAATGAGCTTCTGTAATATTATCGATGCACGCGTATAGCGGTTATAACTGCTTCTCCTTTGAGTATACGATTGTTCCGTTGCCGCAAGCAAACGCACTATTTCTTTTATTCATAAATGCTTCTTTAAAGAATCTTTTCTTATTTTTTCTCATCAAGTACTGCATATATCAAGTATCTGCATATACACGATAAAAATATTCTTTTCGGATATGTATTTCTTCTTACAATATTATTTGTCTTCAATAAGATTCAATGTCTTTTGTCTTTTTCTTTTTTTCTTTTTTTTTTTTTTTTTGATTTCCAACCCGTTGATATTAGAAATGGGTGAACGCGGCTGACAATGAGTTAAAATCCTTTCGACAAAATCAAGTGGGTTTACATAGCGATAACTATTCGGTACGTCGGAAGTGGTAATGTGTCCGGGAACCGTACGGTTCTCAAAGGGTTAATTGGCCATAGTAACTCTCTTCAGGTGACCAAGCTTCATGGGAGTGGAACGGAGAAAAGTGACTTTCGCGTGTCTTCGACCAACTTCCAACTTTGCATCACCCACGTCGCTATACGCCGCTCGACATTTCGGAACGATTGCTCTTCTTTCCTCGATTGAATTCAACTAAATCAAATTAACTTGTAGCAAATTTACTATTACAAGTACCAACTGTTTTTTTTTACCAAAACTATCATTATTCTTAAGCTGATATAGTTAATATGCTTAAGCTGTTATAGCCTTTACCTACATTTATATGAGCCAGTTATTTTGAAAGGTTCATTAGATAGAACTTTTTTCCCGTATTCGATCATGCGAAACAAATGATTCTTCTATACTTCCGCTGCTCGTCATTTAACAACGAGCTATGAGCTTATAATTCTTTGCCACGCTTCGACGAATAAGCTTCGCATCTTATACGCAACGTTAAACGCATTTCGTCAAAATCATTCTGCAAATTAGAATGGAAATTAGAATGGAAATTAGAATGGAAATTAGAATGGAAATTGAAAACAGCCAATTATTATAGCCGACTTTATTATTATCTTTTCGGAATTTTGGAAAAAAAAGAAGAAAAAAACATTTAAAACGATACGTATGAAATTCTTGAAAAATAATGAAAAGAAAGGCTAAAGAAGAAAATAAAATACTTCATCATCGTCGTTGCGTGTCGTTGGTCTCTCTCTCCCACTGAAAAATATTGTAAAAGAGTCGAGTAAGAATTCGCGACCTCGGTCACGAGGAGAGCACCAGCCTCGAAGGAAGAAAAATAAGAAAAATAAGAAAAATAAGAAGAAGAAAAATAAGAAGAAGAAGAAGAAGAAAAAAGAGTATATAATATTAGTAGATAGTAATGCTAGTAGTAGTACTAGCAATAGTATTAGTATTAGTATTAGTATTAGTAGTAGTAGTAGTAGTAGTAGTAGTAGTAGTAGTAGTAGTAGTCGAGGGTGCCACATACGCGAGTAAAACGCGTATAAGTCAGGAGAGTCCAGGATATTTCGTCATTTCCTGCTTCTCACGCGATACAATCTAAATTAACTATGTTCGCTTGGCTAGGCCTCCTCCCTCGCAAAAGGCTTGCATCTCTCAAGAAAATTTCTTATTTCCTAGCGAAGGAACGAGGAGGGCAGAGACTTCTTTAGCACGGAACGCGCAGTAACGTGCCAACGTGAACTCTCAGAGGCCTTCTCTTTAAGAAGGAAACAAAGAATGAAATAATAAGAAAGACGAAGATAGAGAAGGAAGACTACGACGACCGTAAGAAGAAGACGACCTACCGTGATCGGCAAACTAAAAGAAGAGGACCATCAGATGAAGAAAGCTAGAGGAGAGTTGCTTTCACGAATCTACGCTCTCCTTTTGTCAGTTAGTCAAGCCACTCTTAATAATTCACCTGGAAAATCCACCTTTAACGTATCCGCCATATAGATCAACCATATAGGTACAAGATTTCGCCGGAAGAGAGACTAACGGCTCCTGTTAAAGACCGTATCAATTATTTTTTTTCTTTCAACTTTTTTTCCAGGGGAAAATCTTTCTTCAAATAAATCTACATTAATCTGTATTAATCTATACCTATTGCCATAAGGTAACCATAAGGAAAATAGTTTTAGGACTCTGCTATCTTTATTCAATTATTACATTATTATTATTATATTATCTTTATCTCCGTATTTATATTCTACTGGAAAACTATTTTGAGTACTTTGCAAATACTATACCTGTACACACGCGTGATACGCTTTAAATATTTATTTCATATAACATTACTTTTTTTCTTGTTACTTTAGATTATGCAGCCATTGAAAGGAAATATTTCAAGAAAAGAAGCTCAATTCAATATAATCGTTATTGTATGTCAGTCGTAATGTAATGTCAGTCACGCGTTAACGTCATAATATGACAAGTTTGATTTTATTCAAGCTAATATAGCATTTTTGTAAGCGTCTGATCAATGACAGGGTCGATCACTTAAACGGCGATCATATATCGCAATATAATTTATATATATATGCGTATATCACGCTTATGTTAGTAATCTCAAAGATATATTTTGAAATAATGAAGAATTCGTGTTTGCCGGGATGTAAAGAAAACATTGTAAAGGAAATGTTGTAATGGCATCCCATGGAACACAGAAAAAAGGTGTAAACGACCACGTGTGCGATTGCACCGTAAAGGTAGAAGAGAGAGACGATGTTTTGCGTAGGAGGATCACGAAGAGGAGCTAGAATATCAAATAAAAAAGGGGTTTTTATTTTTTTTTTTTAACTGCTAACTGACTAATAAGTTTCCCTTATTAATTGATCAAGGTGCTATTACTATTCATAATGAACAGACGAAAAAAAACCCGTAGAAAGAATATATTGAAAAAGAAACGTAAAAATGGCTATAGCTTTGAAATAAGATCAAATAGGACACGCGTTTATTAAAGTTGCATATATATCATTGCAATGATATAAAAGAGGGATTAGCAGATCAAAGTAATAGAAACAATGATAGAATTCTAATCCTCTCTCTCTCTCTCTCTCTCTCTTTCATTTTCATCGCGCGTGCGTACATGCGTATATACCGTATCCAAAGTAGGTCCACCGCGAGAAAACCGAGAGAGAGAGAGAGAGAGAGAGAGAGATAAAGAGAAGGGGTTGAGAGAGTAAGTACCAAGAGGAAAGAGAGAGAGAGAGAGAGAAAGAAAAAAAAAGAGTATTTGCCGTCCCATCGCGGTACTCTTGACCAATCCCGATCGAGATACTCAGCGGCAGCAGTACCGCGAACTGCGTGAAGGCGGAACGCAAAGATCCAAGAACGTGTACGCGAATATCTCTCCTCTGCGCGCGTACTTATTATTCAGTTTGCAAATACCGCACGAGGGGAAGGAAAAATGATCTTTTCGAGGAGGGCTTCTTGCTCGCTCGCTCTCTCTCTCTCTCTCTCTCTCTCTGTGCGAAAGAGTGTGTGAAAGAGTGTGCAAAAGAGTGTGCGAAAGAGAGAAAGAGAGAGAGAGAAAGAGAGAAAAAGAGAGCGTATGGCCGGCCCCATAAGAGAAGCCGGGAGGAGGAGCCAGAAGGCAGCAGCCTTAGAGATATCGGCCCGTTAATTTGTTAGAAACGCCACTGGCACACACCGCTCGATTGCTGCTTGCTTGCTACCTGGTTGCTTGCTTGCTTGGTTGCTTGCTTGCTTGCATGTTTGCGTCGTTGTCTTCCTACCTTCTTTCGTCGCATGCGCAAAGATGATAACGTTTTAGCAAAAAATATTAGTATCATTTATATAGATAGAAAATTGTCCAAATTGCAAGGACAGCCTATAATATATTCAATTCTAATCGATATTACTTTTTTATATATCGGTTCTATCCTTGCAGAAGTAAGTAAATATGCATACTCGTACACGTAAGTTGGCAACTTCTACATTGTCTACAATTTTGAATTATGGTGATCATTGGAAGGACAAATTGGGACGGCGAATAACTAAAGAGCAACAAAGTTGAAAAGAAAAAGAAAAGATAAATATCTAATTGCGAGAGATATCCCTATGAGGACAAGTTTGTTCAAATGACACTCTCTCTTTCTCTCTCGTGTTAGGAAGTTCGTGACGCGGTTTGTTCACGCTAATCGTCGTTCTTGGAGGAGCTGTAGTTCAAAAGGTGGGTCAATACGTGCGAGCAAGACGAAATGCAACAATAAACGGAAGAAGAAGGACATTGAAAGAACCGTAGACCAAGAAAAGATCACGCTTCGCCGCGTCGCACTGCGCCGGTCATCCTTCACTTGTGTACTTAAAATTTACAAACTTTCAAAGAGTTTGATCATTCACGCTAATAATACTCACAATTATAAATATATTACTACACAAGACAATTGATAAACAGATAGCTATTTATCCCATCACAAATTTCTATTCTCTATACGCATATCAGTGTGTAGCTATATCCATTAAATCTGTATACATTTTGAGGAAGAAATTTTGATAGCTGTTTTATATTTGGTTTTTACACTTGAAATTCATCTCTTTGCAAGTCAAACTGTAAAGCAAAAGGATGAATTTGACTTGCAAAGGGCTGAATTTGACTTGCAAAAGAGTAAATTTGACTTGCAAAAAGGTGAATTTTAAGCGCAAAACGTATATAAAGATATCAAATTTTGTTAAAAAAAGAAAAACGCGTTTGAACTTGAAATACTTTGTTAAAAGGAAAACATTGGAAAATTTGGACAATTGTAACGCTAACGTAACCCAAACTGATTATTCCTATGTTAAGCCTAAGCCCTTTTATATCTGTACTAGTAGAATCTTAGACATCTATTCATTTTCTTGACTCTTAGTTTTGTATTCACTATTCCGTGTCCATGTATTACGTTCGACTAGTATAGTGCACACGTGCATATAGAAATGCGTATGCATAGATAGATAAATGAGGGAAAAAATGCATTGTTTGTTTGCCATAAGAGATCTCATTAGATTTGATTATTTTCTAATCGATATAGATATATCTCGATTGTATTTTGTTTAATTAATTAAATTATATTATTTATTAATTATTTACCTTGTCCTGACGGGTAAGGTGAAAAAATTTGGTAAGATTTGAACGTTCTGGTAGTTGATCGTCATCTCACTTTTCTTCAGCTATATTTCTCATAACGAGTCGCCACTGTGGACGTTAACGAAGCGTTAAAGCGAAGCAACCGTGTTGTATAATTTACTCTTTATTGAGATACATATAAAGTATTATACTTACATACCGTACATTATTTTCATATTTATCGTAGGTAAGGTGGTATAGGTGGTAGGATATTAACGGGGTAAATGGGGTAGGGATCTTACGTATTAGGGAAAAATTCGAAAGATTCCGCAGTTGTTCGAAGCTTTTTTTTTCACGTGCTTGCGATGACACCCACATGGATCTCGATGCAACTCGTTTAGCGTTCATACTATACTTATGCACGCATACACGCATGCACACACGTGCTGCAATATGTGTTTGCTCGCGTATATACATACTGTTTCGTACAAAGCTTAGACCACCAATCTATATGGACATTCACCTTTCTCCTTGTGTGCTAATCAATCTGCTTCCTACGCTCTCAATTATGTAACTTGGTATTACGAATCTACAGAAAATCTATTGAACATTAACAAACAACAAATCTAGAGAGAAAATCTAGAGAGAAAATCTAGAGAAAATCTAGAGAAAAACTAGAGAAAATCAACAGAAAATCATTTGTTTAATATTTTCTCTTTAAATAACATAATGATAACAGATGACACATCTCTAATCATTTCTTTTATAATCTAATTCTTCTTGTCTATATTATTGTACAGTATAATAGTTAATAGTTAATAAAAATTCTACACAGAGAAAGAGACAGAGAGAGAGAGAGAAAGGGAGGAAGGGAGGAAGGGAGGAAGGGAGGAAGGGAGGAAGGGAGGAAGAAAAAGAGATCTAAAACTATGAAGAATGAAAAGAGAAGGGCGCCCCGGACGAGAAACGATTCGACTCCGTTCGACTTTACTCGGCTACCAAGACGATTCGATTCGAGTTGACTCGAGTAGACTGTACACACAAGTTACCTTCGCTCACCTGAGAGTGACTACGGTAAAGGAGTGCGCGCGGCGGTAGTGGGAGGGTAAAGCCAACGCTGGCTCTCGACATCAGGACGAAACTTCAGTATGCATTCGAGTCGTGCACCAACGAGCCCGCGAACAGTCTACGTACTTTCTTATTAACTTTTCATTTACCTTTTTATATTTGCATATTTTTCTTTTTATTTCTTTATCGATTTAACAAGTTGCGTCTAATCAACAGAGAACCAGCAAAACTAATTGAAAACTAATTCTAAACTAATCTAACTTTCAAGTGTTAACAATAACAACAACAACAACAACAACATTCCTTGTGGATCAGAACATTTATTGAAATAAAGAAGAAACAAGAGGATAACTATAGTTATATATACTGTTTTACGTTTAAATTAGTAAAAAGATTAGTTTTTGAATGGAATGAACAATGCAACCATGAGTTGTTAACGTTGCCAACGTCGTTTGACATTTCTTCAGAGAATTGTGAAAAGCGCACCTTTCTTCTTTCTTTGTTTTCTTCTAATCGAACAGATATTTTTCTATTATTATTATTATTATTTGTTAATCTTTAACAAACATGAAAGATGATAATTAACAACATTTGTTGAGTACTTTCTAGTTTAACAAGACGAACATTAAAAAATATCTATAAAGAGAGAGAGAGAGAAAGAGAGAGAAAAACTAAAGACACTGAAAACGTTAAGTTTCAGACAACATAGTAGACAGGATAGTGTCGGTTTGTCTGTCTATCTTATTGGTGACATAAGTTTATTCAAGGATTTGTAATGAAATGAGGAATTTGAAATACGCGCGGGAGAATCCAGCGACCACTCGCGTGTTTGTTATCAGTGCCAAAATGGCCAAAGGTAAGAGAATTTATCACATTTTTTTCTTTCACACTGAAAATTTGCCACTTATGGATAAATCTTTAATAACATTTTTCATATTAAATCATACTACTAACTGCATAGTACTAACTACCAACAATGAACTGCCAGCTCGGTTAACGTCGATCCATGCTTCTTCATTATTTGACCATTTTTTTATTGCAATTTTCATTTATAATAATTTTTTTTATGTCCTATTTAGTAATCCCAGGCAAACAATTTGATTTTAATTATAACATTTCTTATTAATTTGTATTATTGATTGCGAATCTACTGTATGAGTTTTATCAATTGCCGTCGGTCAATAATTATTACTTTCTTTCTATTTGAACTAATAGTTTAAACCGAATTGACAACCTGTTTCTTTTAATCTTCATTGTGAATTTAATTAAAGTTCCTTTGAAATCTGACATAGATAGATGGATAATCTGAAAAATTCCAAGTTTATTGTAAGTGTAAAGAATTTTCGAAGAAAGAAGTTTTAACGAGAAAATATTATTTTTTATTTATGCGCTAGATTAAACTGTTGAATAAAATTCACGCAAATTCTACTACTACTTCAATTGTACTCATTTTATTGATAGATATGTTGTAATTGCAACAATGATCAATTTTATGAATAATTCATGAAAAATTGTGAAGAAAACGCAAGCTATTTATTCAAAATTGAACACATTAATTAAAGTAAAAAAGCAATAATAATTCAATAAGCAAATATAATGTCATAATAATGTATACATTTGAAAAGAAACGCGCTTTTAACGGTATCCATGTTTACGATGTCAAAACGTAATTTAGAAGATGAAAGTGATACCAAATGAATGTTTCCATTTATTTCAATAGATATTGGATCAATAATTCGTACTGCTCCAGACGATAAACTGGACTTTGTTCACATTTTCTTGTCGAGTCATGTAGCTATACTATTGCTGTAACTATTTTCAATATTTTTTTATAAGAACAGAGAAAGTATATCAATGAGTTAATGATTTATTATTAACTTATTACAAAGATTGATTAGAAATTTGAATGAATTCCCTAATTGTTGGAATGTTTCAATTCTGAAATATTTTCGATCAAAAGAAGTCGTCAAATTAGCTGATTGATCTATCAACAACTATCAATTATTAGTAATATTTTCTAGCGATTTTCTATATCTTAACGTTACCATCGCACGCACACGCACCAACTCTCATATTATCGGATTTACATTTACGTTGTCAACAGAACGACGAATCGATCGTGGTGAAATGAAATCGGTAATTAGCTAGGATTATAGTTTAGCTATGAAATTCATGAAGAAGTTAGAACTTGTGTGTCAGGGAACACTGATGAAGCGACGAATAGCGACGAATAGCGACGAATAGCGACGAATAATTTATTAAGAAAATCGGAGGAAGTAAACGATCTCTGAAATCTTCTCTCTGAAACCTATTTATTGAATTATTTCTTTGTTTTTTTCTTTGTTTTTTTTCTTTGTTTTTTTACTATACTCCATCTCTTCCGTTTCTATACAAAGAGACATACATAGAACGTAAGTTGCTTTCCACTTTACTTGGAACCACGCCATGCGCGTGTGGGCGAGTACTAGCAAGAGGATACTTGAAAGGAAGAGAGAAAGAGGGAAATGGTAGGCGGCGGGAAAGGATATTTTTCGAAAATCCATCCAGCTTCGGTGGAAGCTTTGGTGGAAGAAGGTTCGTTAACGTCGCTTCTACTACGGACTCACTCTCGATCGTACCAGAGATATTTCTCTTTCTTTTCATGATTTCCTCCTGATAACATACGACAAGAGCCAATTGCTGCAATTTTATTGGAATATTTCTTTTGCTTTCAATCATATTTAATCGTTCATCAACTTTCCAACGAGTTTAAATTCTCCAGTAATTTTTTCTATTAAAATTCTTAACAAATAATAAGGATTTAATGAAGATAGTACCTAAGTACTAATCACGTCGAAAAATACAAAGACAAATCTTCGTGGTTCTTGAAGATAATCAATAGTAGTGTAAGATCGAATGAAGAATCTTCCTTTAAAATCGTTCCTTTTGAAAATGACGAAACACGGGGAAAGCAATAATTGAAATGATTTTTTGTTTTTCACGATATAACATTAACACAACACTTATGTAGATAAACGAGGCTCTTTGTCGCTTAGCATAGCATCGACATTCCACACTTTCATTCCACACTTTCATGCTACACCACCACCGCCACCACCACCGCCACCACCACCGCCACCGCCGTCGCCGCCGCCATCCTTATAACGACACGCGCCAACCGATGCAACGAATATCGCCTGCCTATCGATCTGGCATTATGATTATTATTGCGTTATGTCTTGTCGACGATTGAGACCTCCGTTAACGATCACTAGCTTGAATTCCTTCCAAATGTTTCCAGTTAAATAATACTAACATTTTTCCGTTATACGATTGAATAGTAAGTAAAGTAACCAAGTATATAACCAACGATTCATTTTCACAATTATCCGAACACGTACATTTTAACATGGATATTAAATGCTCATTATATGTTATACAATATATAGAATATGTTATTGCAATAAGTAACAAAGTAGATTATTAATCCGAGAAGGAATTACATTTACTTAATCTGGACGACGATTATAATATTAATTATAAGTTAGAGTTTCGTTTAGTCGACCTCGATTCGAACGTTAGATTAATCATTTGAAAGCGTGCCACGATAACTTCTCCGGTGTGTAAGTCGAGCGTGATTCCGTTTAACAAAGGGTGGGCCTAATCGTTTGTACTTTCCAAGTATTTCTACTAACAAGAAATGATGAATGAACAACAGTAAATGAAAACAAAAGAAACGATCAATATTTGTATTACATATATTATAATAAGTTAATTTTGTAGACACGATTTTCAATTCGCACCCGCACCCGCACCCGCACCCGCGCGTAGCGTTGAAAAACGTGGTCAAAAACGTCATTGAAAATTATTCAAGTCACGTTCACGCTATATATAGATCCGCCATCGACGACGTCCGGCATACTCGGGCTCCAGCAACATTCTCCCTCTCGCTACTTCATCCTCCTATTTCACTCTATCGAGATCTTCGATCTCATTTAGTTAGAAAGAAAATTGTTATCGTGGCACGAGCCGTCGTCGGTCGCTATGACGCAACCCTGACGTAACCCTGACGTTTTGTATTTTCCCGCGTTCCACGAATAGCGACACCTGCTTAGAAATAATGACCGATCGTTCGATCTAACAGGATACAACCAACAACATACTTATTCCATCCTCATCATTATTTTTCGATATATCCAAAAAGAAAGAATAATTGTTAGCTCTGGAATTTGGGCCTTGGGACATACTAATAAATGTAATTATTATTATAATTATTAAATATTAAAGTGTGTTGTTTTGATATTTTTTACAGCTCGATGACTACCTCAATGTAATCATCATCATTAAAAGAGAAATTCAAAGAAGGAATTCATTTCTATCCATCGATCAGAAAATAATCAAGGAAGAAAAAGACTACGACCACGACCACGACCACGACAAATAAAAGGAAAAGATATATTTACATTATTCGCGGTGTATCTACAAATAGTAGAAAGAAAAAAGTGTCGCGAGTGTTATTTTAACATTAGCATTAAAATAAGGAAAATCATAGTAAGAAAGATATAAGAAGAACGCGCGCGGACGGGCGGGGCAACGAGAGGGAAGAAAGTGGAAGTGAGTTAAGTAAGTAATGTGAAATGGATGATACGCCAAGAACAATCAAAACAATTCTAATATATGGATGCCCATGGGTGGAATTTGGCCGAAATGTGCCAACGCTACCATCACGGTATATCAACGGCTCAAAGTTCTTCGCCAGCTAGGGATTCATCGGCTGCCATTGTGCAGCCATTGTCAACCCCCTCGTCGCATATCGACCAGGTTAACAACCCATCTTATTCTCACTACACGTAAGTATTTCTTATTTTACATATTTTTCCTTGCAGAACGCATCACAAGTTTCTATACGACGAGATTATGGAAGACTTTGGTGTTTGTTGTGACGTGACGTGACGTGACGTGCCTGCCTGCGTATCCGTGTACTTAGAATTATTTTATACAATGCAATTTAAATAAATAATAGTTAATTAATCAAATGTAGTGTCTATCTATTGTTGTCGAAAAGCTCGGAATTATTGATCTATGTACCTTCCTCATCGAGATTCACTTTCAGAATGGCACATGGTTTTCCTCTGTCAACATTCCTTTATTCAATGTTGTTTATATGACTTTCCTTAGAAGAAAATAACATTCATTATGAATATTATTTTTCTTTCACGTATCTACCATATAAGGAAAGTCATATAAAAAACAATCGATAAAAGAACTTTAATAGATGACAAAATGAAGAAGTCTTGCCTCAGGGTTTATTCTAATTTACAATACACATTTATTACGTCATATCGAGCACACATAATTTATAAAGAGAAAAATTTGCTTTTAAAAGAGAAAGCAAAAGCCACGCGCGCGTGGCTGCCACCAAACTGTTGAAAATGAAAGAAAGGATGGATTGGGGATAGATGGGTAGAGTGAGGGAGAGATAAAGAGAAAGAGAAAGAGAAAGAGAAAGAGAAAGAGAAAGAGAAAGACGGTCTTATCGCCTCCCGCGAGGAACGCATCGAAATTGTATTGTGTATATTAATAACGATACGGCGAATTAGGGATAAGTATACGATTCCTTAGGTTCGGGCAACGTTTATCCTGTTATTAGCTCGACGATTAGGGTAAGATGAACCCCGGGCAAATTGCGGAGGCGTAGACATCGCGGTGTTTGCTTAACGTAATCGCCAATCGCCATCCTTCTCGAATAAGGCACGAGTGGTATACGCGAATAAGGAGATTATAATATGCGTTGCTCTCTCGCTTATTTCTCTTTAACCCTTTTATACCTTATCCCTTTTTTTGTTCTTTTTCCTTTTCTTCTTTTCTTCTTTTCTTCTCTTCTTCTTGGAATATCTTCCCTCTCTCTCTCTCTCTCTCTCTCTCTCTCAACCCATTTCTATTCCAACTCACTCAAATTCAATGTTGTTTCGTTTGTTATTACCTGTGTCAGACGAAGAGACGATAAAAGTGTTGTGTTCGTGAAAGAAAAGAATGAGGGATGAGAGAGATAAAAAAGATGACACCTCTTGCAAGCAAGTGCGAGGAAGCGAGAAAATGACGTGTGGGACGCGCTTTTATGCTTTATGTCCTATGATTTATGCTACTCTCGTATGCTCCAATGTTTCGTGTATTTGTTCGTGCGTGTGCTGATAGCGCGGTTCTCTTTGAATCTCATGTCTTTTTCTTTTTTCTCCCCCTCTCTCTTTCTCTATCTCTGATTCACTCACTTTACGTCTTTATCGTCTCTATCGTCTCTTTTTTGTGCATACTTTTTTCTATTACATTTTCAATTTGCTATCTATAGAAATTTTTGCATGACGTTTCCTTCAAGCTACTGTTGCGTTTATGGATTTTATGATTAATTGTTTTATGGTAACTTTTTCTTTTTTACATTTGTCAAATGTTATTTTTTATCCAATCTTGAGATTAAATTTCTTGATTGATTTAAGGAATATTATTGTATATTAGGATTCCACCGAAAATTATATGAAAACAAAAATACGAACAATGAATGCTCTTAGATACTCAATCAAAATCTTACGTATTATAATATTTTTGATAAAATTGATTATTTCATAAATTAGCCTAATATCATAAGATTTGAGTCCTCATTTAATTGTTTGGATTTAATTCGATTTCTTGGATTTCCCCTTTCGATCGAAATAGATGTACTCGTGGTAAATAGGCCCCTGTCGTTAGGCGACTAACGTTTATTACGTTATTCAAGGATATATCTATAATTATGTAAAATCAAATAGATAGAAGATATAGTGATTAGTCTCTTGAGACGTAGGACATGTAATTTCTAAACACGAATCTATTTGTCGTCGCGCATCTTACGTTATAGCGAAGACTTTGACATGCCAAAGTATTTCAGAGAGAAGTATAATAATATTAATTTATAACGAAGAAAGTTTATCGTTAAAAAAATTCAATCGTATGATCTGATAGTATGTAATGTATGATAAATGTAGATTTGGATTGATAGCGAAAAAAGATGGAAATACCTATTATTATTATTAATAAATATAGACAAATGTTAAATGTATGGACGCGTGTGTGATTTACAATAGCGTGGAAAGATCGTGCGGACGAAAATCATGTTCATTAAAATCGTTCCATGTGGTTCCATTCAATGATTCTTGTCCGTCGCATGGATCGCGGAGTCTTCGTCACGATATTTAAGTCTTACACGCATCCTACCTACATACATGTCTACTATTATATGTATATGGTATGTATATGGTATGTATATGGTATGTATGTATGTATAATAAATATCTAACAATAAGTACATCAGATTCGTCGAAGGATGAACACGTTTTTCCACGCGAGTCATTTTTTCTGGGAAAATCTTTCGATCGAAAAAAAAAAGAAGAAGATTGCTATAGGCTTTTGAAATCATAATTACTGCGTTATATATTTCATTATATATACACACAAACGATTTATTTATGATCATAGTATTTTCCGATAGGATATACATTTGTAATATTTTCATATTTAAACTCGACGAGAAGGATGACTTGTGAGGGGATTTTGTTGTATTATTAGATTAACGGTTTCATAATTCCAGTTCATAACTACACAAGAGCCAAGCTATTGGTACTAATTAATTGTAAGAAGTTTGTATAATAAATCAACATTTCATTGAGTTGTTCATTTAAATAACATGAGAATAACATGATGTGTTTGTCGAAGCTTTTATAATAAGAAGAAAAATAGAATTTCGCGAAGGAAGAATTCTGATGACTTGGGATGATATGTGTAAAGTTCCAACTATTACTACTTATAACCTTCGTACTTATATATTATATTTCCCGATAGCGACGCACACGAACGCTGTAAAATGTGAAAATCATTATGCGGCGATGATTAACTTCTACCAGCAAGATCGTGCTAGGAATGTTTATTTCAATACCATAGATCAAGTTTCTTCAACTTTATCATCATTTTTTGTATTATTTCATTTGAATTCTATAGGAGAAAATAATAGAAAAAAAAAAAAAAAGTTGTTTCAATCTTATTACTTGCTCTCACAATACGATTTTGAAGAATGACTTTATTATTAATATTTCTTTTTACAAATTAAAATGCTAAGACTTGTTTTATATAGACTTAACAAAAATATTCAACTTAAGGTTAAATGTTTAACTTATTCTCTCTCTCTCTCTCTCTCTCTCTCTCTCTCTCTTGCACTCTCCATCTAAATACTTATCTATATCTCTTGATCTCATTCTCTCTTATGCGAGCACTGACGCGTATCGTCAAACGCAAGAAACGTTCGATCTTTCTCGGACGAGCGCAGGAAGTCGTACGTAATGGTTCTACGGGTTGAGGTCAGAGGATGAGAGAGGTATATATAAGCTGTATATAAGCTGTATATAAGCTGTATATATACGATACGATACCTATATATACCTATATGTATACACTGTGAACGTTCAGCAACGTCCGTTCCACAGCTTAAGTCCGTAAAGGTTTCGGGGATGCGCTTTCTTCGTTCTCAAATCTGAAACGCGCCGGAGCGTTAGTAGTGCAGAGGTGAGCGCCTGAGGTCGTCACTTCCGGTTACCAAGTGAACCGCATTGGTCATTCAATTTAAAAGTTTAATCAGAAGACTATACAATTTCTTTTTTCTTTTCCTTTTTGATTTTCTTCTTTTCTTCTTCTATTTAATCCGCTTGATTTTTCTTTGCTGCATTCCTCTTTGCTCTCTCGATCATCTCTCTTTAAACATTAATATATAAATAATATATATATATATATATTGTTTTATTTAAAATATATACGAAGAAAATTTTATATGAAAGATAAAAGGCAAACAAAGGCAACGTTCGACAACGTTGACGACACACTTGTTCCTTAGAGAAAATTATTTCTCTCAGTCGAGCCTTTAAAAAAAGGCAGAGAAAGCTTCTTTCGAACGGCGGAGGCCTGATGGCTGACGCAGTCTTAACGCATTTTATTCAAATAATCGCGAACGATCGAACACACCCTTGTGCATTGCTCGACGTCGAAACAGCATGAAGGTGTACACATATGTTTACACGTACGTATGCATATACGTGTATCTAACAATGTACCTTTTCACGAACACCGATGGATAACCGATCAAGTATAACTCGTAAGTGGCGCCATGTGCCAACGGTACGTGCCAGATACTCGACAATACTCGATACTCCAAAATGAAATACTCCAATTTCATCAATTTTTATTTATATAAATATATATAAATCTCACGCGAATGAAAATTATTTTCATAATTTCGTATTACACGCATGTACGTAGGCACGTGCAAACCAAGAGGCCAAGAGGCGAAGAGGCAAAGAGGCAGAGAGAAAGATACCTAACGGAAAGAAAGATCCAATCGATCTAACGGATCATCATTGAATGCGAATAACACGAATTCGTCAAATGAATTTCCATCCTCCACCTTTGGGGGGACGGGGGCGCCTTCGTATGCGGAACAAACCGTTGAAATTTTAGAAAGGCATTCTATATTATCGTTCCCACTTAAATAAGATACGTGTCAAATACGATAATGATGCCAAAGACAATGAGCCATTTGCATGCTCCCAATAAATGAATTTAATCGGTTGCCGCATCATAGTAATGATTCGTTCGTTCGTTCGTTCGTTCGTTTGTTCGTTCAACCTTCATTTTAGAATGCACAAATAGTCAAATAGTTTAAACTTTCAATTCTTTAGGGATTCTTTAAGGGATTTTTTCTAGATTCAAGTTGAAAAAATATTGAAAGAGAAAATTACTTAAGGATAACGAGCTCGTCGACAAGACGTCGACGATGTACATAGAGATAGGTAGATAGATAGATAGATAGATAGATAGATAGATAGATAGATGAATAGATGAAAAATAAGAAAAACGTATCCTGCGTCGAGTTGGCCAACAGGATTCCCCGGGATTCGCTCTTGGCGCAGCTGCGCCACCACCCACGCTTATGATAGATACGCCACTGCCTTCAGCATTGTTTCTTTAATGATTCATGTGGGGTGATTGCACCGAAGGAGAGAGGACGAGAGCTTAGAGGAAGCAGTTTCCAACTGGAAATGCAATGAGCCTCGCTCGTATCGAAAATATTAATATGACGCCATTGAAAGTAGGATGGGGGCATTCTAAGGCTAGGACAGAGGAAGGTATCAAGATTCCAAGCAGCCGGTGGCGTCTGTCAAAGTCCTTTACCGTTTTTGGAAGACAAGTCCTTTGCGTTTAGCCTTGTTCGAGAACAATGACAAAGGTTATTAAACGGTTAATTGCAACTTTTTCCTCATTTGTTCATTTGCTTCGTCTCATTCTACCCTACAAATATATTTCTACATATTATCTGTTATCGCGTATTTAAATTACTCTGCTAGAATTTCCCTCTAAAAAACTTGGAAAATCCCCCGAGAAGAAGTATAAATAATAGCTAGAATTGATTATTTTTCTACATTGAACACCTTCGTAACCGCGAAATCGTAGTTGTTTTCTACTAACACCGAGATCGATAAAAGAGACGTTAGGATGTCGAACGAGAATGAAAGATAGCAAAAAGCAATGTAATAGCTGGCAACTTTATTGAATGAAAATGCCAGAACGTTTTTGTGCGTCCAGATCTCAACATCTCTCCTCGTGGTCCGAATGAAACAATGGCCATTACGTGGAATGTGTTCACACATGTACACACATACATATATGAGAGAGACATATAGGACACTTTTATACTTTGCTTCTGTGAAAGAAAATAAAAATCAATTCATTGAACTTGAATATTCCCCAAAGAAATATGATATTGTATATCTTTCTTTTTTATGTAAACCTATTAAACGTATATGTATATGTGTACATGTGTTAAATGTCCATTAAAGATATCAATGAAAAGAAAGAATAACGAATGTTTTCTGCAAGAAAAACATTTGATCGATTAGTGATCGTTTAGTGATCGATTACGAGTAGATGATCATGGAAGTAATCAACTCATTCCTCATTTCTCTCTTTCACCCCTTTTTTCTTTTTTGAAGAAGGATCAAAAGAAAAAGAAGAAATCCCGTGGGTTTCGAGATCGGCGACCGTCGCGATTGATCTGTCAAGACTGTTAGTAAAAGAATTGATCGACATGAATGAACATGCATTCAAGGCCACTACATGGAATTCCCACGATTGTCTTTTAAAACCTAATGAAACCTAGAAGAAAGAAAAACCCAGAAAATAGAGAATGGTACATACCAATACACACACATACCAATAGTAGTGTATCTATTGACTAAATGAGCATCGATGATAGTATGCATCCACAACTTAATGTTCAGGCGTGTTTACCTTGCAAACAAACGCGATCAGGAATAGTTTTTCCTTAAGCTTCTGAATTGTTGTTTGACTGCAAATCCAACACAATGTATTGTAAATTATGGAAAAAGAAAGAAGACTCTGAATCTTACAATTAGATAAAATGTTGTAGGAAAATGAAAAAGCTTCGGTTGGTTCATAGATAAAATAAATAGAAGGTCGATGATCGGTAATAATTTGAAAAGATATAATACGCGATAGAGAGGAAACCTCGAAACGCGAAGAAAGAAACCTATTGTAGAAAAGATTTCTTTCTAACACGTAGGATAATGGCAAAATTGAAATATAACATTCTCCATTTACAGGATGCTGGATAATTATGACAGGGGTGAGATGACACCACCGCCGGTTAACAGTTATGGCGGCTCCCCGGGACTCTTGGCACTTCATTCTTCGCTTTATGCTACACCCACGCCTAGAACCTACGACATCGACTCCAATATCGATACAAACGATGCATCCATGCCAATCGATACCCAAATCATCTCGGTATGTTACTACAATCTACTATTTCTCTTCTTACTTTTCAAATTACATTTAACTTTTCACTTATACATTATACAACACACACTATATATTTTTTCAACGCCATATTTATGTTTTTCTCATTTCTATACTGTGATCTACCTACTATACTGGGACCAAATTTACTAGCAAACTACTAACACTAACTAAACAAAAAGGAGAAAAAATATCAATTTGAAAATGACCAAGAAGACAAGAAATTGTCTTCCACTCGGTATATATACTTATACTTAGTTATATCTTACTCCTACGCTTATAATACTTTATTTGAATTTTATTCTTCTATCTATTATTCCAGATAAATATACAATATAATAAATAGCGTTGGGGTTCGAATTTGTCTTATTTATACATATATGTATATATGTAAGATTTATTGTAATAAAAGATATTTTATTTTATTTTATTTCTAAATAACAACATATCAGAATGTTAAATAACATAATAATAAGTAAGAGATGTAATATGAAAAGTAATCTGTAGTATATCTATAGTTTAACGTTGCACGTTCGTGTAACAGTCGCAATACTCTTACACACACACACACACACACATTCATATTCAACTGTCGAATGCATCAAATAAGGGCATTTCCCAACATTCACACACACGCACACATATTTGATTTGGACGATTATTGTTTCTAGTTTTTGTAATAATTAATATTGTTATTTAGATCCCTGGAATGTTGAGCGGGTCAGGCCAACAACGTTTGGAAGATATGTCCTGGTTAGCATCAGGACCATCCTTGGATTACCAGCAAGGCATCTCATCGATTCCCACAGGAGTGAAGATGTGCCATCCTGGCAGTACCGCGCAACGTAGCCTAAAGGAACAACGGATACGTCGTCCGATGAACGCCTTCATGGTCTGGGCAAAGGTCGAGCGCAAGAAATTGGCCGACGAGAATCCTGATCTTCACAACGCCGATCTAAGCAAGATGCTTGGTAAGTCAGCACATTCGATCGTTTATCTAATAAATCTTACAGATCAATCGATTACCCGCTTTATCGGGTTCTTCAATGAAAATTATCTATTCGGCTTTTTACAATATTTTATTCTTTATGCATTTCTCGACTTTTTTTCTTATCCTCCGTATTATTCCGTATTATTCCGTATTATTCCGTATTATTCCGTATTATTCCTCTACCTGTGTTATTACGTTGCAATGATTTTTAGTTAGCGATCATCGTCGATTTCTAAATCATTAATATTGATATTAATATGAAATAAATTTTACTTTTACATTTTCCTTGTTATTTCTTCGACATTTTTACAATGTTATTTAAACAAACAACTCAGCTTGAAAAAGATTTAGCTCGACGATTACAGATTAACCAAATATTATACCAATTGTGTATTTTCCCAATGTTTATTCGTTATCAACGATATATATATATATATACATATGCAAATAATTATTTATATGCTAACCTTTTCAATGTGCAGTCGGGAAAGGAGATAATAGAAATAAGTGAAATCAATGGAGGCTATTCCTCGTTTATGTGTCTCTCCACGAGAAAATCGAGCTAGAAGAAAATATTATTTTCTTTTGACACGAGAGTGAGGATAGCTGGGAATGAGAAAGTCGGGAAAACTTTTTTACGCATTACGCGCGACTGAATTGCATTTTTTTTTTTTTTTCAAGGGATTCGCACAAGAATGGATGATTGTTCCAATTAATATTTATTTTACAACGATTGTAAAATCCATTTCTCACAGTAGGAAACAGAACAAAAAGTTGTTTCTAATAATTAGTTTGACGCTATGCGTATATATAATATGTTAAACTGTGATTTATTTAAAATTACATTCTCTTGTGTTAGTTTGTACGCTTGTGTGCATAACTGAGAGAGAGAGATCTGCACGCGTTCAAAAAAAAAAAAATCCAAGTGTTAGCACGTGCGGTTAAAATGGACGCAGGTGTTTACAATTTTCTGCAGGAGGGTCCCCTCCCTCTCGTTCGACTCCCAATAACATCAGTGTGTGTGTGTGTGTGTGTGTGTGTGTGTGTGTTTGTGGTAGGTACTTTTTAAATAGGGCCTTTACAAAATCCAACTGTTTGTTTTTTCAGAGAAAAAAGAAAAAAGAAAAAAAGAAAGTGTCGCCAAGGGGTTTATCGATCGAACATTAAGCGATTGCCGCGATGTTATTGGCATGACGCAGCTTCGATTATTATGCGCGCCGCGATCGACGTCGGCTCCCGCCAAGCCGCCCGCCAAGCCGCCCGCCAAGCCTCCCCCTTTTTTCCAGACGTTCTTACATATTCATGCGCGTGCTATGTGTCGATCCGATCGTCCCTTCTTTTACGTCCTCCGTTAATCTTGCATAAGAGGAACAACAGGAGGAGGTAGAAGAAAAAGACAGTAATACTTTAGATACAAATTATTGATAATATTATTGGCTCGACGGAGAGGGAGAGGGAGAGGGAGAGGGACTTGTTGAGGGACTGGGAGAGGGTGGGGAAGAGAGAAAGGGAAAGGAAAAGGGAACATATGCCAATCACACTGTTTTCTTCTCCTCTTTTTCTATTCTTACCGATAACAATATGATGAATAAAAAGAGAGGAACGATGCACGCGCGCTTACGTACGTTACGTTTAGCGTCGATGGTGTCCGTGTGTGGGCCTCGTATCCGGCAACGCGCGTGCCTGCGCATCTTTATTGGTCTTCTTCGTTCGTCTCTTTCTCCTCCCCATCCTGTTCATCATCCTTTTCGTCTCACCGCTTTGGGTCCGTATATCAATATTGGAAATTGACGCGTCTACACTTACCATCCATCCAAATGAAATTTTCATTAGTAAATCATATACATACATAATTATATATTATAAATAATAAAAAGAAACATAATTTTTTCAATAAAAGTACATTTTATACATATACACACACATATTCCTAACTGAAGTGTTTGAAAGCAAAAAAATGGAAGAAAATAAATCAAATGGAAAAGAAAAGTAGTCGCTTTGAAGGTGGACGGTCGCTCGTTGAACGCGTCATAAAGCAAGAAAATGTGCTCTCTCGCGTCTACGAGCAGTCGTTCGACGCTCGTGACGCGTTTAAATCCTTTCCTTCAACATCTTATACGTGCACCTACCCCACCATCTCATTCTTCATTCTACTGCATCGCTAGTAGTAGCAGTAGTAGTAGTAACAGTAGTAGTAGTAGTAGTAGTAGTAGAGTAGTAGTAGTAGTAGTAGTAGTAGTAGTCTTTGCGATCCTTCTTCCTTCGTTTTCTCGGTAATTAGTTACGGTCCTGAAATCCCTGTAGCTTGCCTATTGCGTACTATCCAAGTGAAAAAGAGAGAAAGATCGAAAACAAGAACATCATACTTACATGCATACATACATGCTACTGAGACGCCGAAAGAATAAAAAAAAGAGACAGAAGATACGTAGAAAAAGAAAGAAAATATGCACAGGGCTCTCGTTTCTACGTGTGTATATATATATATACATATATACGGTACTGTCGCAAGACCACCTACGACAAATGTCGCAGACTGCAAATAATACTGAGCCCCACGTTGTACCACCAACGACAGGAAAGATAGAGGCCTCTGACTGCCAGCTTCGTATCGTTGTTTAGTGCCTCTGATTACTACTTCCTTTTTTTTTTTTGCAACAGTTTGTGGTGGGGTAGGTTTGGTTCTTTATTTCTTTCGTTTGAGACTCTCTTACATAGAACTCCTAAGAAAGTTAAGGTAAAAAGGAGAGGAAGAAATATATACCTATATAGAGGTACCTTCCGAATGCGTACGATTCGCCAATGGGATAGAGCCCCCTAAACGACCGATCCTTGAACCTCAGTATCTCACTATAATGGTGTACCGTGGAAGGCCCTACAGATAACGTCGGCTATGTGGAAAGATTTAATGTATACCAAAGCTCCGTGCGAACGTTCACAATAAAGATTGGAAGTTATTGGTAATGGTGGACCTCTGTATAGACTCGTTTATTCCATTCTTATATACGCCAATTATTGCATCATCATTTTCATAAATGGGCCTTTTGTCGATTCGTATTCATTGCTCGATGCAATCATATTTTGGAAATATTAAAGCGGTAATTACTTATCGATATTTTTCAATATAGAATATGGTGAAATAAAGAAGAAAGTAAATTTACTTAAGACCTAACCTTAAAACCTAACTCTCGTTAGGTCATGCCACCTGACGTTGTTTGAATTGCACGGCCCGTTCCAACTATGACCCAGATTTAAGATAACTAAAAGATGAGAATATTTAGAGCGTAAAATATGCCAAAAACAAACAAACAAAAAACAAAATAATGTGTAAAGCAAATATTAAATAAAAATAATAAAAAAAAATTTTCCGAAGAATTGGTAAGGTACCCATGGGAATCCCCGGGGAAATGGTGGGGAGATTCTATTTCATTCTCTCGCAGGCTAAATGCTATCTCTTTTCTTAGCTCGCTAAAACGGGTCCGTTTCATCTAATTCATGTCGCTTTCGGCTGCAAATCACTCCGATATTAAAGAAGTTTACGCTTTAATAAAAAAAACAATCGCGTGTCTAGTCTAAATATGAGCAACGAATTAAATTAGTTATACGCATTGGAAGTGCGTAAGTGAACTGGAGTCGAGCAAGGTTTGAACTCGGCGAAAGGAAAGTCTTACTATTTCATCGTTCATCTATAGATATACATACATATCTACATACGTGCAATAATGCATATGCATATAAATATATCTATACATTCTTCTCTCGATATATACTGTATTCTCATCCACCTTGCTGTTCTTCTCTCTCTCTCTCTCTCTCTCTCTCTCTCTTGTGCTTATTATGTCTATCCGTCTATCTCTTTCTTTCTAGCTTATTCGTTTACTCATACTCTCTTCGTCTTTCTCATCGTCTCTATCGACCGGCTAGCGAACAATAGCACACCTCGGCTACACGGTGGATGAACTTCTGAGGCTGGAATCGGCTCTGCCCACTCTGTAAATTTCGTTTCCGTAAAAATGGCCGTAAGAGAAAAGAGGTCGGCCAGATCTAAAAGGCAACCTACATCCTGTATAACCGTGGCAAACTATAGGTCTTCGATAGTACATCGCTTAATCTTGATAATATGCACCAGATTTAGAAAGTTCTTGGAGAGAATTTTCTTTACTTTGCTAGGTCCCCAGAGGGAGGATTTGCTATATTGTTTATCTTTTTTTGTTTTTCTTCGTTTTTTCATTATTATAATGATAATGGTGAGCACGATCGGTGGGAAATAAAATAATAGTTTTGCTTTTTACTCATTTTAATGTTTCATATTTTTATGTAAGTATATGGAATGTAAATATTTGGGTTTGGTGATTGTCAGTATTGATCGTATAGATGAACCTAAGTCACATTATATTTACATTGCGAATAAACTTTAATTATGACATATGTTTTAATTAAATTTAATGTAGTCTTTTTTGACACTTATTTATTACATTAAAGTGTTTAATTGCGTGTCCTCTACCACATCTAAAAATTATCTTTCGAAAGACTTTGTACATGTAAGTATTTACATATAAGTTTATAATGTTATATATATATAGTATTACATATGAAATATTTTCATCTAAGTAAATTGATTAAAATAAAATGTTTCTTTCTACACAGATAAATCTCCCTAAAAAATGATCAACGAGTAATTTTATTTTCTATACACCCTATATACGTATCCAACGAGTGCTTCGAATAATATCGTATTACGAGCGAAGAAGAACCTGTAATACGAACGACGATAATTCGTATCGATCGTTGCACTTAGCGATGCACAATGCAGGTAGGTATGTATGAAGGACATCTCAAAGAAGACTTCAATCTATGTCCATCGAATAGAAATTAACGTCCGAGCGTGCTTACATACACGTCTACGATCATTTAAATTACTCATGAAAATCGCTTTACTTGCAAATTTACAGTTTATGTATTTAGATTAATATATAAATA